TATAACTTTAAATGAGAGAGATTCCAGATAAAAATGAATGTTATAACTTGGCCCAAAAAAATAATCGAAATATCAAGGACACACAAGCATGTTTTACGTTCATAAATTGAAAAAAAAAAATCATAACACCGATGTTTTTGTTCAATAATACCTAAAAATAATGTTCATATACAGTCATGTCAGCAGCGTTTGTATGAACTTTATATATTTCAAACGTTACATGTGAAAATGTGTTGGTTTGCTTTTTTCTATAAAGCAAAATATCGGGGACATTGCGGGTTTTATGAAGCTTTGGACATAATCATTACTTTATTAATGGGTTGTTTTGCCGTCCTTTAGTTTACAAACTTATGAAAACATCTATTAATGAACAATTTGTTTTGGATTTCAGTATTCCTTGGACGGTCAGCAATCCAAAAGTCTTTTAAACTTTGGATAACCTCAACATATGGTCAAATTGTTCACAATAAAGCAAGAAGCAAATGATCTTTTGAAAATGTACTACCACAATTGTTGTTTGCTAAAATTATACACATAAATTGTATACACGATCAATTTCACATGTCAATCTTTCTTACATTTCCGTTCTACTAGAAACACTGAAAGTTATTCATTTATTACTATGGCCATAGTATATATCGTTCGAATCACACAATTGGCACTAAAATTGTAAACCTTAAATAAAAATAAAATATTCTTTAAATCTGTATAATGATATTAGCTTATTTAGTTAACATGCATTTTATATATAAATTTTACAAGATATATTTTTGTGAGTAGCACGGCATTGAAAACTTTTTTTCTTTTTATATCTCTATATAAACCAGACTTCATAACACAATTTCACAATTACTAACATGAAAAATCACTATACTGTATTGTTGATTTTTTAAAATGTGAGGACATTTCAACCAAATAAGAAACATCAAATTCACGAGTATTTTCTAAATAAATTTGCTTAAAATGTTTTATTCAGAAACAGGTGTTTATATACACCTTTGAGAGAAAAAGAGTGAAAACAAAGGGGTCTTACCATGCGCGCGCATCCTCAAAATTCTGATACCACGAACACTTTTTCCACCGGTATTTTCAACAAAAACGAGTCATGTAAAGAAATCAGAATATATTTTTTTTCTTTTATTTTAATTATCTTTTTATTACTTTATTTTTGTTGTTCGCCATTGTCATCTATTTGATCCCATTAAGAACTTAGACTGCTTCGAAGAAGTGTAGGCAGAATCAATAACACATAAATGTGTACGTAGTATCTTGATTTTTTGATAGTGTACGCAGTATCATAATGTTTATTTCCAGTAAAAAAGTTCGTTTTAAGACTTTTTTCATACAAAGGAAAAATAACAAAGATTGAAAATATATTTATAAACAGGTTCTACAATAAACTAACTTCCAGTTGTGTGAAACTTTCAGTTTAATCGACAATTTCTCTATTTCTGTAACATTTCAACACCGGGTGTACGCAGTATCCAGAATAAAAATAGCATTCAACGCGAAATACTGACCAGAAAGGGAAGAGTTGTGCCAATGCATTTGGAATGTTAAAAGTAGAAGTAAGGCAAAAGAAATTAAATTCAAATCTATTCTGATTGCTATACCTGACTCGTTTTTGTTCAAAATACCGGTGGAAAAAGTGTTCGCGGTATCAGCATTTTGAGGATGCGCGGGATTGGTATGAAACCCATGGAAAAGAGAGTTGAGCAACTAAAATGATAAAATTTCAGTTGATTTCAGAGTAACAGTTGATATAACGAAAAGAAGGTGAAAAAGCAGTGAAAAGATAGATGAGTGACTAAAAGTGTGTACATATATCAAAATCTACATTGTCACCATTCTGGCGGATAAACTATACTGATCTTTACGTAAAATATTTGTTTCGCAAAAATTAATTGTAATCTAGAAAATGACTTTTTTCTAATTTGAATAAGAAATTTCATAAACAATGTTTTGAAAGCTGCAGTCCCTATTACTAGTCAAGTTTGGTCCATTCTTTAAATATTGTTAATCACACTATGTATTCATACTGTGTTTATCTAAGGCATGTTATAATAATAATTATTATTATTCTTTTAACTTTATTTACAGAAGATTCGGGTTACCTAAGATTTGGATTGCCTACACATACTGATCAATACTTTTTTCACGATAACTTTTTTTTAGCTAAGTTATTTCAGGAAAATGTTTCTTTCTCAATGCCTTTACAGCAAAATAAAGGTGAAACGAATGAAAATAGTTTTAATTCTCTGAAAGCACATCGTCTTGTAACAGATTAGACATCTTGCATTTTTTTTTTTGCTCCATAATATTTTTTTTTCAGAATGGTAAAGTTAAAAGAATGATGAAATATTGGTAATAAAGGAGGTCTACTAGAATAATGCATGTCAGACTAAATCAACCAAACCAAATCAGCCTGAAAACGGCCATGCTGCAGAAAGACCACCAAATTTATCCGTAGTTTACTCGTTCTGATTTATTCAAGGAAAAACTTATTGTAAAATTGTTACAATCAGGATATATAGATTGCATACATGTATATGTTGTACACTATATATGTATATATAATATAAGTAAAACGTAAAAGGAGTATCTTGTTTTTAGTTCAACATAAGTTATACCTATTTAACAGCTAAAGATGTTGTTTATAATTTATTAATTTTCTGACACGGAGACAAGTAAATAACACACAAATAATGGTGATACAATGTTTATTTTATTAAATTTCCTCTGATGATACATGGTTTATATATACACAGTAAACTAGTATGGATAATATATCCCATGAAAAATAAACATGAGAGGTCACAACGTTAGTTTAAACATTATTATTTATGCTTGATTGTAAAGATAGCCTGTTGTATATGTGAACCATCATCAAGTCCACTTCCTGCAACTAAAGCAGTACTTGTGATTTGCAAGACCCAGTAGGGTTCTAACTCATAATCCTTCAGTTTAAACACAGTCACCTAAGCCACTCCACTAGGCCTCAGTTCTCCTCACAACTGCATCTTAAAGTTTCTACATAACCACAAGAAGAAAATAATTGTTCAAGCAATGTTTAATTGAACATTTAGATAAGAAAACCTATTTACTCAAAAGCAGCTATTTGAGAGAGTTAAAACATCAGATTAAGGTCGACCACACTCAAATAAACGTAAGACATTTGGTTCCCAATCATACATTAAACATATCATAACTAACAAACTTAATGATGATACTGGACATAAAATGATTTATTTCTATTGTAGCCTCCACTGAGGTTATTTACATGAAATGACTGGAAATAATTTTTCAAGATAAATGTTCCATTTGATGTAGGTAAACCCCAATAACTTGTGTGCAAAATTTCAGAGCATCCGCCCATTCTATTTCTCCACAATAAATATTCTAATTGTGAAAAAATGAAAGAAAAAAAATGAAGACCTCAGTGGAGTTCCACTAAGAATTTGGCTAACTATATGAAATTTATCCATAATTAAATTATGTTGATAATAAAATAAAAGACAACAATCAATGATCATAAGTATCATGTTTTTACTAGTACCACATACTCTTGGCGTTCATGTTTTCCTCTTTAATTGTTAGAAAACTATATTGAGCTAACTTTGATCAGCCAAATAATGGTTGGAATCAAAAACCAAAGGCCCTAAACTGAAAGAGGCTTGCTCATTTTTGAATTTTTTGAAAATTAGTTAGTGCATACGCATTATCATTCCCCCACTTGACCATAAATCTGCTGGAATAGAAAGTTATTAGACTTTGCCATCCGTATATAGAGAATAACAGGTTACTGTCTTTTGAGAAAGGGTTTCTCAGACGAGGTTAGATATGGTCCTAGAAGGGGCGAGGCTTGCCGAGCCCCTTCCGGACCATATCTATCCGAGTCTGAGAAATCCCTTTCTCAAAAGACAGTAACCTGTTATTCTTTTTATCATGCCTCTATTATGATTTTGCATCTTATTTTTTTAATTCGGGGCGCTAATTTCTGAAAGTACGGTAACCACAAGAGGGTTATACGCCAAAAAAAGTAGTCCGAGGGTTTTTACCAATAATTTCATAACACAACACAATTTTTTGGTACAATTTGCTTTAACAATTTATTTACTGTATATTATCATAAATATTCAGCAAAGTCAATTAAACAATACCAACAATAAACATCACCAGTGCTGATCTGGCGTAGGAACATAGTGTTCTCAAGTCACTGACTGAGAAAGGTTGCTGTTCTCAGACAGGCTTTATCAGGCAGTTGTCATAGTAATGGCATGATAAATAGCCAGTTCAGACTGCATGACCGTTGGCTGACCAACTTCAAATATTTATCCTGAAATCCTTAGCAACTGATAATGGACAATTAAAACAATGGAACCTGGACATATTTAAAAATTCAGCAGATTAAATGTTAAAATAGCTGTAGAATATGAAGTTCGGAAACAGTTCATCTGTTATATAACAGAGACTCTGATAAAATGCCCATGAGAAATTGAAAACAATATGAGAAATCGAAAACAATATTATATATATATTATCAAAATTTAATATAATTTAATATAGTTTTACACCTTTTAAAAGAGGAAATTCGGTCACTTTTATTTCTTCATATTTAAAGATCACAATCCTTAATACGCGATTTTGAAACTTACATATGTTGTTTTGCTTCTTTTAAGAACAGCTGTTCTCATAAATCATTAAATTACAATTGTCGACAGAAACAGTTTGATTAAACACTTCTATATACATAAACACTAGGCAATTTAATCAACTTTTGTCACACTTCTGCAGTTTATGGTCATACGCTGGTACATACATAATACTTCAAGCAACATTTGTCTGTACTCTTTGATCGGGTTAAAGCAAGTGTACACGTCAATACCCACAATATTGCAAGGACAAAAAACTACAACATCAGCAAAAGAAAATCGATTTACCAGTACATTTGCTAACAACCAGCTGAATTGATAGTGTCATTCAATTTTACAGAACTAAACCTAAACTTGTATAGCTTTGAAATAATCGAAATCACGCCCACTTTCATTGTACCTATTATTAACTCTATCAAACAAGAAGGGCGGTCTTTCGTCATAGCCATACAGCAAACAATCCTCCCTTAACATTTTACTCAATCTCTCCATATAATCCATAGGCACTGTTAAATATGCCTGTCGCATCGCTTCAATTTTCTGTGTAGTAATATCCCTTCTCTCAGCTTCAGTTAATTCTATCGCGTTCAACAATGTCTTCTTGAAATCTGCCAAGTTTATCTTACCTATTTCTTCTTTCAGGTAAGGTATTGGTACATGCTTGGAAATTACACCAATCATTTGAAAGTATGTCCAAGTTCGTACAAACAATGAATGTACTGGAATGCCCGATGTCTTCAATAAACCAATGGTAACAAATAAATGATTTAATGGGCCATTAAATGACGTCAGCCGAAACGTTTTTAGAATATCGGAGGGATAGTCTTTTATTATTTCATTCGATCGCCATTCATCAAGTATGATATCCCAGTCTGATTCAAATGTTTCTAATTTACCAATGTAGTCGAAATTGTATGTACACGGGTTACATGATTTGTGCCGAATTAGTCTGAAATTTTCATCCAAAAACTGTGCATTCTCATACCTATCTACCACGTACTTGATGAGTTCCGCAAACGTTAAATCGTGTCCATATTTCAAACTAAGTTCAGCCGGGTTTTCACGAACTTGCTGTATCAACTGTGACCCTCTTGTTAGCCAGTCTTTCTTTGGCAGATAAAACGTGTTGCTGTATGAGGACAGTAAGCGTCCGTAAGGCTCACGGACAAATAAGAACGAAAATGCTTTACCCATAACTGTAGAAGCATTTTCAACAGAATTTTTCACATTGATGCCATGTTTGAGAAGACAGTTGGCGTCGCAGTCAAAGAGCTGCCTCATAACTTCAAGAGAGGAACTGGATCCGCATCTGTTTATACGACAATAAAGTACAGTATGATTCGGATCCATATGTGCTCGGATATCAGTATCGTTAGTAGTGTAATTATAGCCAAGTTTTTAACGTGTTTTTAAAACCCTCAATCCCCGGGTTGACTCTCGTTATGTTTTGGACCCCCTTCCGGGAAAGAAAAAATAATGAAAAGGATAGGAAAAACTGGGCCCTTAAAAAATTAAACATTTTAAATAAAACTTTTTGTTTTTGTATTTGTGTAAAAAAAAAACCCCCCAAAACCAAAAACCAAAATAAAAATAATGGACATCTTTGAGAAGATCCCCCTATAAGAGACAAATTAGAAACCTGACCCAACATTACATCCGGCAGGAGACAAAGTTGAAAGCATTTCAAGCTTCCACCTAAATATGATTCATTCAAAGATTCTCCAATGTAACTAGTTTATCTACGGAAAAAAGGGCGAATACAAGTCTTTTTATCATCTATCATGTACTGTTCCGACAACTTGCTCAGAATTTGAAATATTCCGCTTTCTATCCTTTTACTTTATTATACTATAGTAAAGAAGGACTCCTCAGCTTGCTTTTAAACAGCCGTTTCTGCCATTATATTGCATATTTATGGGACTTCATATAGTTTGAATTGGCTTGAACCTCATCTCATCTAAACTTTCTTTGCAATCTTATGAATGGTGTCTAGTCGACCAAATGGTATGGTCGACTAGACACCTGCATCTGCAAGTCTTGACGTTTTTATTATATATTTCATAAATAATAAGTCTAGGTTGAAGATAGAAACTAGAAATATCGTTATCTTTAGGATGTGTGCTATTTTGTCCAAACCTAAAACAAGAACAGACTAAGCCACTTGATGTATTCCTCTAACAAGGGTGGAGAGAAGGTCGGCCAAAATAAATATGTTAAATGGGCAATCAATTCATATGTAAGTAAGTTATGATAAGTTATTATCGTACCAAACTCTGGCAAGTCCATTTTTAAATATAAATAATAAATTAAGAACGAAGTAAAAGTATACATTAAAAGACCAACTTTCACATCCCCATCATATGTGTACACTTTTAAATTTTACTTATTGCATTCTAAGTGTCGGTACTGATCACAAAAATACAATATAATTCTTAACCAACCTCAGATGGCATTATATCTACAAAGTTTCTGACTCTGTTTTTATCTTTCCATGGCTGATCTACAAGAAAGTAAATCTTAATCAATTATATTACATTTACCCTTAATGAGTATAAATTATAAATACAATCTTAATGCAAGATGAAACACTTGTTACGTGCATTTGTTAATTAAATTGATGTTTACCTTGAATAAATTGGTTCATGTACATTAGAATTAATTCTACATTCAACACAGTGTGAAATAAACATTTTAGCAGATAAAAAAGAGAAATGAAAGTTGACATGTTTCAAGTAATTTCAATTGATATGCAGGTCATCTCAATATATAAGATGTATCATTTTGTCAGTAAAAAATATCATGTACATTAACATGAACGTTCATGTCAGTATGCACATTGTCAGATATAAATGTTATGTTAGTTTATACGTATAAAGATCATGTCAATAGATGTATATGTATGTATACTATATAGTTATATCAGCATGCAGGTGATGTCAGATATATAAGCTAAATAAGTCAGGAAATTCATGTCAGTAGATAAATCAGTCATTTAATCAGACATATAGACTATGTTTGTAATTTCTGTACAGTAGCACTAAGTATTTTGAACTTACATAATAGAACTCTGATATCAACTACCATGTACCAAAACACCATCACAGTCAGTAGGTACCTTGCTGTAATCTTTCTTCCTGGTAATATTTCTAGAATTAAAAAATGTAAATTCGCAGTCAGTATAGTACATTTCTCACGAACAAATTATAAGGGTCAAAATCAAAAAGCAGAGCCACAAACTCGAGACATTCAGCCATACTGGATCTGAACATAATGCACCCAATAGGACACCGAACAGGGCAAAAATGCACCTAGTGGGGCAACGGACGGGGCAAACGTGCACCCAGTGGGGTACCGAATAGGGCAATATTGCACGCAGTGGAGCACCGAGCCGGGCAAAAAATGCACCCAGTGGGGCCACCGAACAGGGCGAAAATGCACACAGTGGGCATCGAACTGAGAAAAATTAAATCTCACAACCGCAAGTTATCCTAATTTTTTAAACGAAAATTAATTGTTACGTATTATGTTTGATATGCTGCTTAAAAACGAAATTCGACTCGTACATTCTTTGATTTTAAAATTTCTGTTAAACGTTCTAAGCTAAGCTATAAATTAAGTCAATCCGACCTTGCAGACGCCTGGCTGTATGTCGCACATGATCGGGTAGCAAATACTTCGCAAAATGATTTACAGATTGAAACATCTCCTTGTAAAAGATTACATCAGTAAAGATAACTTTATAAAACCTACTTTTTATGTAGACCAAAGTTTTGTTGACATATACATTCTGCATCATCTTTGTCTACAAGCACGTTTTCGTTCCTGAAAAACATCATAGCAACTTCTTATATACAAACAATTTTGTACATGCATTCTTTTTCATAAGCATACAAACAACTATTTCAGCGATTTACAGACAGCGAAAGTGATAAAAGTGATAAAATTATGACAAAAGGAAATATATCGATCGAGACAATAAAAAGCTATATAGATATTTAATGCCCTGGACGTATATGTATAAAGATTGTCTACATTTTATTATGAAAAAAAAATAAAACTGTTATGTCAACTCAGCCAATGGTGTGGGGGAAATTCAATGCTGAGGGAGCATTCATTGTTGATGTGAAAATCATAATTGACTTAGAGTTAAATATAATATTATTTTTTTCTCATTCTCTGTTATGATTCTGTATCAAAAGCTTCTAATAACTTATCAGAAATATTGATAAAGATACCTACCTATAGATCAGCTCTTCAGCTCCCGGTGTCCACATAAAAAGGCCTTATTTTTCGACTTCCGCTTCCACCATACTATATCCGTTTCAACAAACGCTTGTTTTTCATAAAATAAAGATTTTTCTAGAATTGTTCAATGTTGTTTATCAATGATTGAGAGTGTAGATGTAACACGTGTGCCTCACGCTAGATTTATATCTATCAAAAAGGAAAATGAAACTCTTACTATAATTATTTTGTGCATGACCAAATATAGATGTGCTTTTATGAAAGCGAAGGTTTGATCAAACAATATGCGTAAATTGATATTAGATTGTCGGGTAGTTGTTTTATTATTGGAACATTGGGCTTGATGGAATGTTACATGTTAGAAAAACCGCCAATCATTATTCTAACCTTCACAAAGTTCAATAATACGTGGCATCTTCTACATAAAATATGTCGCCATGATATTGCAGAATATATTTATGTATAATGACGTTTAGTTTTGCGCATATATTCAAGTATGAATTAGTAAAATTATAATTGAAAGAAGTATGTCGTTAAACAAGTATTCAATATATCTATAGATAATCAGAATTACGATATAATCCATCTTAATATCATTTGAAATTGTTGTCAGATTTTAAAGTAAATTCTGTATTTGTGCAAAAGGTTACTGACACTGTTATATGTCGCAAAGAAGCTAAATGTCGCACATGCCGCTAAATGTCGCACTATCTTGATATGCCAGATTGATAGACAGTTCTAAAAAATGGGAGCTTGCAAATATGTTTAGTCTTGCCAGTGTCAGAAATGTCGGCTGCTCAAGTTAAATCTATTTTTTTTTTCTTTTAGCCCATCACATTACCTTTTTATTACAAATAGAATAAGTCGAATATAGAAATAAAAGAGACTACACTGAGGTTCTTGACTTGACAGGACTGGAAATAATTTTTTCATGATTGATATTCTATTTGATATAGATCATGACCAATAACTTAAATGCACAATTTCAGATCATGCGCTCACTCCGTTTTTCCTGAATGATTATTCTAACAGTGAAAAATGTCCCAAAATTGAAAAGTGTTTCAACTCTTTTGACTCAAATTGGGCTAAGAATAGTAAAAAAATACGCTTTTCAATGTAAGTCTAAGGACTTTTTAACTTTATTATTAAAACATAACCTAATTAGGACTTCCATTCTCCTAAATAGGAGAGATAAAAACCTTATTATAATTTTTAAACTAAATAGGAATTTTTACTCATAATTAGGAGAAATAAACCATATAACAATTTTGTTACTACATTGTATTTATAAGAATTTTTTAAAGCCTATAGAAGAAATAAAAGCACAATTAGGAGTTGAAAAAACATCTTAATTAGGAGCAACTTCAAAACACTAAATATAAAATTGAACCCTAATTTGAACACAAGATTTTTATACAAAAAAAAAGGTTTTATATTTCTCCTAATATATAAGTGTTTAAGACTTTTAATTAGGACATGCAAAGTCCTATATATATTTTAGGCATTGAAAAAGTCCTTACTTTAGGCTTTTCAAACTACTTAGCAGAAGTAACAAAGTCTTAATTATAACTCTTTTTTTTTTTACAGTTTTTAAGAACATTAAGATTCTGCACCAGACGGTTCCGTACCAAGACTCCTTTGAAAACGTTGTCATTTTATTACAGATTTTCGACCTTTGACCATTTACATACACTGAGGACAAGTAAGGAAAGTGACCATGCGACCATATACACGCATCACACAAGGGGGTTAATCCATGCGCGCGCATCCTTAAAGTTCTGATACCGCGAACACTTCATCGGCCGGTATTTCGAAGAGTGGTGTGAAGTAATCAGAAAAGGTATGAATTTAATTTGTTTTGCAAAGAAGATGTCCTAACTTCTAGTTTTTATATACAAAATGTCTTGAAGTAACTCTTTCCTGCTTTGTCAGTATTTCGCGTCGAATGCGATTTTGATTCTGGATAGTGCGTACACCCGGCGTTGAAATGTTACAGAAAATGAGCAAATATCGATTAAACTGGCCGTTTTAAACGGCAAGAAGTTATTCTGTTGTAGAATCCTTTTCAAAAATATATTTACAACCTTTGTTCCAATTCATTTGCACTAAAAAAGTATATAAACGCACTATTTACAGAAAACAGAGATTATGATATTGCGTACATTTTTTAAAAAATCCAGATACTGCGTACACACACTTGTGTTTTTGATACTGCGTACACATAACTATGCTATTGACATGTGATTTTTTTGTACTTCGTTAGACTTAGACAATGTAATCAGTTTACGATTGCTTTTAGAAGAATCACTGTACGGGTACATGTATCTTTTAATCACAATGCAGTTATAACTTGCTCATTGATAAAATCATCTTAAAAGTTTTATTTTTTGTTTCCTTTTTTATTTCTTGATTATTTTTTTTTTAATGTTTAAACTTTATCTACATTACTGGCTTTCTTATTGTAGGTACAAAACGTAATCATGAGGCCGAAAAAGTCTAGCTTAAGTCTAAACAGACAGAAACAATACTCTGAAATATTGGAGAGGAAAATACGTAGAATGAAAAAGACTAATTTCAACATTAACTTTCATCTGATCAATCAATATCAACACAACGGGAACTTCTTATCACCTACAAAAATGATCTACGAAAAACGATCGAAACGAAGTCGAGTTCTATCACCAAGGGTTTGTCCAAAAGGTTGTTTTTTCCATTTATGAATTTATTAATCACCAAGTTACAGTCAATTAAATATATCGAAATTCAGTGAAATTCCAATAGTTTAACCTATATGGTCAAGGGCAAAAAGGAGCCAAGGTCAAGTTGACTTAAACATACATGAAGGTCTTACCCTTAAATGTGTTTGTCTTAATATGAACTCAATCCATTCATATATAACAAAGTAAAAGCTAATACAGCAAAAGGAAAATAAAAATTATAAATAAATATGACCTTAAAGGTCTAAATCATTTAGGAGTGAAGGTCAGGTATGTCTAATTAACTTGAAGTTTGACCCTTGAAGATTGTTATGTTCAAGTTTGAAGAAATCCAATCAAAAAACAGTCATAGCCACTTATAGAAAAAATCAGCAAAAATAACCTTGAAGGTCAAAGTCATTTATGAATGAAGGTCAAGTTTAGTCTGGTCTGTATGAAGGTCTTGTCGGCCAGGTATGAAGAAAATGCACCAAAACCTTAAAAAGTTATGATCAAGGTTAAAGTTTGCGGACGTCAACGCCGCTATGACTGAAACTTGTGACTTGAGTTTTGATATAGAATACAAACATTTCAAATACAAACACAATCAATGAAATCTTTCAAAAGTTATGCTGCGTACTAATTGTGTACGGACGGACAACGCCATATTATTAAGTCCCGACAGTGGAAATCAATAAATCTGTAAAAATGCATTTTCTTATATTCTGATACGAATAAATCAAATGTGATAAAAACGATATTAAGTTATAGTCAAACAAATTTAAAATTGAATTTGAAATTGTTTACATGATAAACTTAACTTTTCGTCAAATACAAGACAACAAAATATAAGCTATCTTGCTTCTGTAAAATAAACACATTGATTTTAATATTTGTTATAATTTACATAGTAAATAGCATATATTTGTAACTTGAACTAAAAACGCTTGCAGCAAGTTCTTTCTTTGGAATGCGTTCATGTTCCACGAACTTTTAACTGTGTTTCCTTTTCATGTGTTCCTTAAGAGTTTTGGTATGACTGAATATTTTTTTTACAAATACTGCACTTGACAGGATCTTTACTTGCATATGAGAGATGGGACGAAATAGCTGCTTTGCTTGGAAATTTTTCCCCACAATGTTCACATGTAAATTCATTCCCTTCGTGCATTTTGGAGTGTCTGTAAAGATTGAATTTATACCTGAATGCTTTGCCACACTTTCCAAATTTATAAAATTTTCTATTCTCGTGCTTATCTAGTTTGTGATCACTAAGATCTTTATTATTAGAGATGGCCAAGCCACATTCATCACATTTGAATTCCTTTGTTTGGCTCTTTCTTTGTTCATGGCGTTTTAAATCATGAGATGTCTTGAACGATTTGCCGCATTTACATTGGTACTTGCGTTCAGAGGAATGACGCTGCATGTGTGTTTTGTAATGGTATTCCGAAAAAGACACTTGACTACATATATCACATTTGTAGGGGCCATCTTGCCGATGTCGTGCCTCATACTGTCTGAGAGAAGATTCACTGGCAAAGAATTAACAACAAAATCAACATACATTCATTTTCTGAAATCAGATATAAATTTGACTGTAAGAAGTAATTTATTTTGAAATGTAGAGTATAAAAACATTAACAAGATAGACAATTATTCACCAGGTTTTACATAAATACCTTAACAAATTGCATAAATAAATGTTAATTCTAAACATTTTCTAGGATGTAGATTTTAAATAATTCTTCAAACGGGACACCCATGCAATCCGCTTTATCATTTTATAAACCTTAGACTGCTTCGAATAAAATGTCATTTCTATCAATTGCATAGTTATGTGTACGCAGTATCTGGATTTTTTTAGAATGTACGCAATATCATAATCTCTGTTTCTCTGTAAATAGTGCGTTTATATACTTTTTTAGCACAAATGAATTGGAACAAAGGTTGGAAATATATTTTTGAAAAGAATTCTACAACAGAATAACTTCCAGCTGTTTGAAACGGCCAGTTTAATCGATGTTTGCTCATTTTCTGTAACATTTCAACGCCGGGTGTACGCACTATCCAGAATCAAAACCGCATTCAACGCGAAATACTGACAAAACAGGAAAGAGTTACTTAAAGACATTTTGTATATAAAAACTAAAAGTAAGGACATCTTCTTTGCAAAACAAATTAATTTCATACATTTTCTGATTTCTCCATATCTTCACACCACTCGTTTTTCTTCGAAATACCGGCCGATGTTCGCGGTATCAGAACTTTAAGGATGCGCGCGCATGGATTAACCCCCTTGTCACATGATTCCCCCTTCTCTTACGAAAAATGGACAAAGAGTTGTGTCTTCCCTTTTACTACATGGCAGATTTCAAAATATGTCATTTTATTTCTGTAATTGATTAGAAGGCTAATTTTCAAAATATCTCTTGAATTTGTTTATTAAGATTCAATATTTTTTTAGAACTGGCTATCAATCTTGGAATATCAAGACTGAAAGTACAGAGCTGGTTCAGTCTGCAAGGATGTGCAGTCTGGCATACATGTATCTCTATATTGCTAAAAAAAATCGGTTCCAGCAGTGTAAAGGTGCAGTGTTGTTAACAGTGATTACTTTTGATCCTAGCTCATTCGAAATTTAATTTTACAGTTTTCAATCTGACTTTATGCCTTTGTAACTGTAGCATATGCTTAAGATGGAAAAGTTATCAATGCGATAGGTGCACCGAAGTGACAACACTTTTTAATGACACAGAGTAAACTTAATTTCAAATCACACTGATGTTATGTTACGAGCGTATTATTTAAAGAGAGGTTATTATATCATTTTACTAATTCAAGAAAATATATAAATTAATGATATAATAACCTCTCTAATGTTGGTAATAGCCATAGTTCTCAAAAGGAAACATGAGATTAATCATCGCGAGGGTATATTTTGGTTTGCTCATTTTAAAAATATTTTGTCGTTTATTTTGTTCTCTTTATTTTTTTTTTATTTATTTTTTTTTTGGACGAAGTCCGTCTGTTATCAGTTTGACTTCCTGTAAAATTAACAGGGAAGGACTGAATATAAGAAGAATTTTCATTGGTCATTTTAAAATTACAAACTGAAATCGGTGAATCTCATTGGTCATTCTAAAATAAAATGTAAAGGACAGTTCTAACCATTCTAAAATAAAATGTAAAGGATAGTTCTTACCATTCTAAAATAAAATTTTAAGGATAGCTCTAAGATAAAATGTAAGGGATAGTTTTGCCACTATAAAATAAAATGTAAAGGATAGTTCTAAAATAAAATGTACAGGAATGTGGATTTTTAAAAAAAAAAAAATTAGGTTAAAGATCCTGTAACACAATTTTCTTATGGTTTTAAATCATAAATATAATGCTCAAATTAAGATTTATCAATATATTGTATGTTCCAAAAAGCATTATTTATAAAGATATTACCGAAATTAACATTTCATGTAAATAAAGGGAGGTAATAAAAATGTATTTTCTACAAAGTTTAAGTCCAATTTTACAATAATAATGAATGCATATACTTTAATGATTACATATTATATGCACAAATATTTGCAGTACATATATTGCATATTCGTCGATGTTTGAAAATTGTTTTATTTGCATAATTATGTAAATATATATTATTTCACTTGCTAGCCCATATGGTTTCTTTCGGTGGCGAGGGTAAACAAACGTAAATACACAAAGGCATGCCACCTTGATCACAACATACAGGATCTTTAATTTGTAAATGATAACAACATTTATAAGTCAAACGTAAAACAAGTAAAAGGGACACTTTAAATAGAAGTGGTTCTTCTTTGAAAAATCATTAATATCAATTGATTCGCTATAATTTAATTTCAATGTTTACAAAATGGGTATTTTCTTAATAGTTACAAGAAATAATTATCATAACAGTGTTATGCAAGCATTGGTATCATTTCTTTTTCAATTGAAAACTTAGAAATAACACAACTTTGCATGTTAAACAGATTAACTTCGGCCGAGTATCGTTTTAAAAGATATTTCTTGCTTATGTTGTATTGGGAGGTGTGTTATTGTAATTTATTCAAAGTGAATGCCATTGTATATTAAAATTAAATTGCAGTGAATAGGAATTTGAAAGAAATGTATAGATGATTTTAGGTTGAGAAAATTGCATCAGTATTTGATACTGGTCAAGTGTTCACAATCTATATGTATCGTTACTATCTCACACTCCACTTAGTATTTAAACTTTGCTCAGATTAAATATATACTTGTTTAAACATAACAAGCTTAAATCTTTCCTTTTGTCTCACTAACTTAAACGCGGTAGGACATCTTGTTTTCATTTCATTTATTTCACTTATCTTTTATTCAGATTTTATTTTGATTTTCATTTAGATAAATACTGTTTCTATTGATTTAGATATTGACTTTTTTACAAAAAAAAAATAATTTTAGATATAAAAAAATTGTGTCTAACGGATTGAATTTGTCGCTTTAATATTTTCATACTATTTTTTTTAAAGATGGCGGAATATGTCAAACCAGCGTGTGCAATTTTCTTACCTCATGTCGGTGGGTTTGTGGGCACATATTTCACTGGAAAACAATTACAAGACTGGAGAAAGGTTAGTTCTTAAAAGTATGTGTTTTCTCACGTATAAAATAGTTCTAAAACAGACATTTATAAATGTAATGATACGATATAAATACGGATGGTAAAATAGAATTGTTTAATTCATGTGAAAATCGCATGAGTCAAAGCTTATGCTTGCCTCCCCCACCTAGTCAAACTCTTGCCCACACCTAGCAACGCCTATTTACGTTTAACATTTAAACACGCGAGTGGAACGGGGTCCTTAAAGGGCGGGTGGACCCTCATAAAGCCTCTAGAATACATAGATGTGTGACTTATAGAAATTTATACCTGTTTAAGGGAGGCTGACTGCAATCAGTTGAATACTTATTTATTCTTGATGAAAATCATACCCAAATTACCTTAACTGATTGTTTGTAGATTTCTGATCCTTTTTGAAAGAGACTAGATAGGCTGACCCTTGGTCCTATCAAATATTTTGTTACAGAAAATAATATTCTGCTTCTTTTCCGTGTACATGTATTGTTCATATGCTTAAATTAAATGGTTGATCTATACATCATTTTTTTCACCGCTGTGAATTCGAATCCCTCCAGGGGACGTTGGATTTTTTCATGTGAGGAAGCTATCCAGTTAGCTGATGGAGCATGGGTAGTTCTACTCAGGTGCCCGTTCGAGCCTGAAATAATGCACGAAAGGGCACCTGAGATCTTCCTCCACCACTCACTTTTTCAGTTATATTGTTTGGTTTTATTAACCTGTCAATTACATACTGATTACACGGTCGATGCACACAGTATATTAATCTTCGGTAGATGTTCGATAAGTTCCGTGAGATGTACGATGTACGATGGAATTTAATTTAATTTGTATCTCTAAACTAAGTGTACTCAGCGTTATAGCGCAATAGGGTAAATCACGAGTTTATAATCTAAGTGCTACACGTGTTTTAAGTTCGAGGCCGCGTTGGTCCATGTTTTATTTTCTTATTAATACTTTCAACATTTTTGAATCTATATATGATTATTTTATGTTGTTCGTTTTTATTTGTTTGGGTCGTCAGACCAAACAAATAATGGTAGCGAAATTTCAGGACCGACTGCTCTTACTTGCAGATACCGAAAGTAGTCCGCTGTTTTGAAGCGGTTACTTCCCTTTACATGGACATTAAGGCCGAAAAAATTCAGGGGAGATCACGGCGTTAAGATTGTCAAATGGACTGGTCCCCTGCGAACCATAAGAGGACAGGGAACCAGATTATTTGTCAAAACAGGCGCATTAATTTTCAAACGTGCTCAGGGAAGAAAATATAGTTCCCGTTTGGTCGAAGATTTCTAATATTGTGCAATTCTGTAACATTTCCGCAAATAACTGGTATTATATTGAAATAATTTTGACTAAACGTACGTCAATTTTGAACTCTTCAATTAAAAGGCGTTCGTTTATGGGTTAGTTTATATAACTAATTCAATTTGTCACGTGATCAAAACACGCTGAAGAGTCAACAGAACAACCCACGGAGAGGAAAGAAAGAAGGTTTGTAAATTAAATTTCATGCAATCTTTATTATACATTATCGTATGTTGTTATTATTTATAAACAAGAAATATATGATAAGTTGATTTCACATTACAAACCAGTTTGTGACAGTGTTAATATTGATTAAAGCGAAGACAGCAGATTCAATTTTATGTAGGTCACCGGCACAGGTCCTTTGTTTACTTAAATAGGCCTAGGCCTACCATTATAAAGCGACGCCAAATGATTTGGATCGTGTGGATGTGATTTTCAGTTAAAGAGCCTGTCGAATAATTTTCCACAAAACAAACAGGTTTGTGACAGTTACAACTTTGGTTTAAGAGCATATATTTTAAGTAGGTCACAGTTCCTTTGTTTATTTACGTTTTAAGCGACGCCATATTGGATAATTAATGTGGATGGGACCGATTTTCATGTGAAGAAGTTATAAGATGCTGCGGTAATGTTGTAACTTTTTTTTAAATGTAATATGATCGTTGAATTCATTTGCAACAATTACTATTATGTGACAGTAATAAATTTGCGCGAAATCACACAGAAGTTGGAATACGGTCACGGCTCCGAAATAAAAATGGCTAAATCGATGAATTGAGTGCAAATCAATTTGAGGCACCCTATTGATCGGTGACCATCAACAGGACATTTTGAACATTTTTTCCAAGTGCAAATGTCTGAATTTCAAAGCTAAAGATCCAAATATTTGTCACAGGATTGTGCAGCTAGGTTCTTCTTCTAATTCGCCTGATTATATGTTGACATCCGATTTGATTCCTGTTGAGGAGGGTTTAAATAGTACATTGTACCTTAATTGTCCACACTACAGGACCATGACGAATCCGGGTCAGCTCGGCCCTAAAACATACTCGGCCTCCGAGTCAGCTCGCCATGAGTCAACTCGGCCCACTTTTCAATTATTAATGTCACAGGGTGAGAAAAATGTGCAGCCTGACTGGGACTCGAACCTGGGACCCACGGACACTGTACCACGGCTCTACCGACTGAGCTATCCTGCTGCTTTCACATCTTCTCCCCTAAATAGTGAACAGCTCTGAACCGTGACATACTCCCCTGCTATACTGAATTTTGTCCTCGAATTTCACAGAGTTACAGTGCAATGTAAATTAAACTCTGAGCTATAGTATATCAGTCACAGTCGCCCGTTGGATGCCAAATGTCACAAGGTTAGAAAAATGTGCAGCCTGACCGGGACTCGAACCTGGGAACCTCGGATACTGTACCCCGGCTCTCCAGACTAAGCTAACAGGCCGCTTACACATCTTCTGCCCTAAATAGTGAACATTTCTGAACCGTGACATTAATATTTAGGTTTGTGTTATCACTATTAATTGTAATTATTGTCATTATTTATGATATACAGATTGACAGTTTCGGAACTAGCAGCAAACAGGATTTTCTTATCAGTAGAAGTGCGAGTAAAGATAACCAATTGCATATCTTACTGTATTTCTAACTCGTGGTGGGTTTAACTTAAAGTTTAACCATAAATTTAAATGCCTTCAGTGTCAAACAATGTGTTGAAACATATATTGTTACAGGCTTTTATTATCAATCAGTGTGTACATTAAGGATATCGTTTAATTAGGTGATAATTATGATTGACTCATTTATCCATTTGATTAGTGACCTCTTCAATTAAATAGAAGCTTAAGTAAACACGCTTTTGTTTCATTTTTTCTCTTTTTGTATTACTTTACAAACAAAATCATTTACCTTAGCAACATGCAAAGCAAAGTTATAACTTTATATATATTTTTGTAAGGTGGGCTGAGTTGACCCGTGCCAAGTTGGTATAGGGCCGAGTTGACTCTTTTCCTACCTTGACCGGTATCACAGTGCATATCCATATCTGTACCCTCTTTGGGAAATCTGCTCAAACGGTACCCTTTTTGAACATGCACAGGTCATTCTTTGCTAAAAACAAACCAGCGATGGATAACAATACAGTAAAATTTCATTGTAATAAGGAAAGGAGGTATGTCATATAGAGAAGATGTATACCACGGAACACTAGAATGTTTTATTTATGTGCTGATTTGTCATGTGCCCAATTTTCATGTACTGCAACTTCACAATAAGCTACAAAGATGGACATGTCTTGCTTCGGCCAGCACCTCGACATATTACTGAACGGCAGCACTTAATACTGCCTGACCGTTGTAGATTTTAAATGTTCTCAACAGATTCTTGTATTTCCAGGTTGTGTTGTTTGGGAAAAGATTGATCTGAAATTGTGAAGTGCATCATTTTAGTGAAGAATTTACAGCAGTTTGGTTGAGAGGTTTTTTGACGTAAGTTTCAAATCTATTGTTAACCAGGTGCAGATTTATACAATTTGTAAGTCATATCGATATGTTCTATGTGACAATGTAGACTCAAAAGTTTATAGAAATACAATAAGGAGGGAATAAATGTTTCATAATATTATATTGGGTTTCTACAGAATGAATTGAAGCTTTTTAACTCACCTGTCATAAAGTGGCATGGTGAGCTTTTGTGATCGCTTTTCGTCCGGCGTCTGTCCTTAAACTTTTATTTTCAATGACACCTCCTCATAAACCGCTGAGCCAATTTCATCAAAACTTCACAGGAATGTTCCTTTGGTGGTCAACTTAAAAAAATGTTCATAAGAGGGGGGGGGGGGTGTCATTGATTTTCGGTATTTGTAAAAAGTAAAAACTTTAAAAAATTCTTTAAAAACCATAATAGATATTTAGCATGAAACATCCTCTAGTGGGTGTCTACCAAGTTTGTTCAAATAAAAGCTCTGACTGGGGTATAAATTGGCCCTGTCCCAGGGGGTTTTTTCATTTCCCTTATTTGTATATAGTATAAATTATAAAATCCTCTTAGGAAACCAAAATAGCTAAAGCTTAGATATAATGCATGAAGCATCTTCTAGTGAGTGTCTACCAAGTTTGTTCTATAAAAGCCTTGGGGTAAAAATTGGCCCTGGCCCAGGGGATCATTGTTGTTGAATTTTCCCTTTTTGAATATGGTATAAACATTATGAAAACCCCAAAGAGATAGAGCTTAGATATATGTCATGATACATCTTCTAATGGGTGATTACCAAGTTATTATAAAGTCCCTGGTTTAAAATTGGCCTTGGCACAAGGGCCTATATACAGGTGAGCGATTCCACAGCCAACATGGCCCTCTTGTTTGTACTTTCTATCGTTCGTAAATGGGAAAGTTTTATTATAGATTTGCAGTCTATGACATTAATAAACTGACAAAATGTGTCTTTCCATTCCAGATTGTGTAGTTTGGGCTACATGTTGCTTGTTGGACATTGCATATAGACTGGAAGTAAATGTGGAGTGCTACTTTTAATGTGAAGAATTTACAGCTGTTTGGTTGAGAGTTTTTCTTTGATGTAAGTTTTAAAAGATTCTTAGCAGATACATACGTTTATATTAGATAAGTATCATTGTTTTGGTTTAAGTAGGCTAAAAAATTATAGAAATAGCTCAATGAAAGAATTATTAAAGTATTATAATTTGAATGTATTGCTGCTCCCTGTACTGCCGGGATAATTTCATTTAAGATTTGCAATCTTATGACAACAATCTGTATTTTCTGTTTCAGGTTGTGTAGATCAGGGGTCTTAAATATAGAACATTGACATCAGAGACTTAAATTCTGTGTGGAGTGCTACCTTTATAGTGAAGAATTTACCGCGGTTTAGTTGAGAGTTTCTCTTTGAGGTAAGTTTTAAAATATTTCTTAAAAGGTGTACATTTTATAAGTTGCATTGTTGTGTTCTAATAAGTCTTAAAATTTTGTAGAAATAGACTGAGGGTTGTGTTAATCAGCATATTGGATGACAAATTTTCGGATAATTAATCCTGTAACTTGATTGAGTTTTCAAAAAACTGTTAGATCATTTTTTAGAATACTTTTAATAGACAGTAACCCCCCCCCCCAGAAACCAGTACTGTACAGTTGTGTTGTCATTATTTCTGTTTATTTACCCATGTATGTAATTGAATTGAATTTGTGAAGTGCTATACAGATTTGCAGTTGAAACACACAGAATAATATTGATATATAAGCCATAGATTGCTGGAACCAAAAGTGCTTGCACATCAGTGCATTCTGATCAGGCTCTATATTGTTGGTTGCTCAGTTTTGTATTTTGAGATTGAGAATGACATGCCTTGAAATTTGAACAGACTGTTCCAAATCCAAGCAGAGCACTTTTTTATACAAAAACAATAGGTAAATTAATAAAATTTTACATATAGGGAATTGAATTAATAGTATAACACACACAATATATTTTCAATTGAATGTTAATGGGATTTGAAAAACATAGAATTGTTGTAAAATACATGGAAATGACACTAAATTGAGAGTGCATGGGATTTGTATTACATGGAATTGAACATAGATACATGGAAATGACAAAAAAATAAGAGTTCATGGAATTTGAATTACACGGAATTGAACATAGATACTAGAAATGACACAAAATTAAGAGTTCATGGATTTGAATTACATGGCATTGAACATAGATACATGGAAATGACACTAAATTAAGAGTTCATGGGATTTGAATTACATGGAATTGAACATAGATACATGGAAATGACACTAAATTAAGAGTTCATGGGATTTGAATTACATGGAATTGAACATAGACACTTGGAAATGACACTGAATTAAGAGTTCATGGGATTTGAATTATATGGAATTGAACATAGAGACATGGAAATGACACTTTATTATGAGATCATGGGATTTGAATTACATGGAATTGAACATAGATACATGGAAATGACACTTACTTAATTAAGAGTTCATGGATTTGAAATATATACATTGGGTTGATATTTTATGAAGGGGTGTTGATGGCTTTAAATTGAATTTCATTAGTTTGGTTTTAAATTCATTGAGAGCTATATTGTTGAGTAGAGTATTTAAAATTGATTTGAGTTTAAAGGATTTATATTCAACTAATAAAGACTTTTAGCCTGGGTAGTCTAATAGAAATTGACGGTCATGAATAGTTTTGAAAGGAAAAAGTGTTGAAAGAGTTAAATGACCACCGTTATTATAATCTGAATAGCAGTTTATAGTTGTTGTTTATGTTGCATTTTAGGCGGTGTAGTTAATAAAAAAGCAGAATGATATTCTTATGTTCAGAAGCAAAATAGTGGTAAACCTGTTTTGAAACAATTTAAAATATGTATTGCAGTACATGTAGGTTGTTTATAATGCATTAAACTACAGAATTTTTAAAGATGGATTACCATTTGGTTACATCTGCCAAAATTAATCAAGGTGATTCATGTTTACCTGATCAGGCAAGAGGTAGGCAATGTGTTCCATGCAGCTTAATGTTCTTGATATTTTCAAGATATATTATACATGGACAAAAGATGCAAGCTCATGACTTGCATGACATTCTATTTGCTGGAAGTCAGTTGTATCGTGCAATTGATAGCTTACAGGCAACAACAGGCTTTATGGATCCCAAAGAACTACCTGAAAGTGTTATTATTAAGGGACACAAGGTGTATGTTTACTATAATGGCATAACATCTGGGTTTCTTGGTCGAAATGTTAATAACGATAATATAACGTTATATCAGCTTGAATTTGCTATGTCGAAAAAAGTTCTTAACTATCAATCTAAAGGTTTTATTTTGATTTTTTGTGGGCTTGCCATAAGCATCCAGCGTGACGGGAACTGTTACTATGTATTTGATAGCCACTCAAGGAATCATGAAGGCTTGAGTACAGCAAATGGGACTTCAGTACTTGGTCTTATAAACTCATTAAATAGTGTTTGTTCCTACATTTGTGCATTAGTAAGGTCCATGAATGTAAACCCTGATGATGTTCAGTTTGATTTACATTACTTTGATCTCGGCAAAAAGTGGAAAACAATAGACAGTGCCATAGAAATTTTTGAAAAGTTAGATGGATATAGGGTAGTTAATGTTCATAAAAGGAAAAGAAAGTCATCACATACTTCAAGTAAACATCAGGTTGTTGAAAGTTTGATCGAAGGTAGATCATTTCTGCAGTGTGTAGATGATATAAATGTTCCATTTACTACACAAAGCTTGGTAAACAAGTTTCATAATCTTGTATCTGAGGGTCCAGACTATGTCTGTTCATGTTGTACTCAAACATTTTTCAGACATAATGTACAGAAAACAGCAAATATTCAAAATATTGAAAATTTCTTGAATGGTTACAAGAGTGTTGGAAATGCAGAATGGATATGCAAAGGTTGCCTTTGTGCTATAAAGAATGGTAAAACTCCTCAATTTTGGCTTCATAATGGTCTTTCCTTTCCACCCATTCCTGAAGAATTAAAATTGTCACCTTTAGAAGAAAGACTGGTTTCACCAAGGCTGCCTTTTATGCAATTACGTGAAATGCCCAGGGGAGGTCAAATAAATATGAAGGGTAATGTAGTAAATGTCCCAGCAGATGTCAATAGTACTATTAAATCACTACCAAGGATGATGAGTGACAATGAAACAATTATGTTAAAACTGAAAAGAAAGTTGTCATACAAGCATCATGTTGCTTTTGAAAACATACGGCCTAATAAGGTTTTTGAAGCAGCAGAATGGTTAATTTCTAATAGTACTTTATTTCAAAGTGAAGGAATATCGTTAAATGAGACCTGGCTTCAGCAGCCATCTGGTACCTTTGAGGAAAGGTCAGAACCTAATACAGAATCTCATGCTGATGATGAGGGGGAAACAAATAGATGGACAGAAGATGAACATTTCAATGAAAGAATGACTGGAAACTTGGATACATGTCTACAATCATTGGATTTTCGAGAGTTCAATCAAGTTCTATGTGTTGCTCCAGGGGAGGAAAATTCACCTATTAGCTTGTTTCAAGATATACATTCAGAGATTCTTTCCTTTCCTACTATATTTTGTGGCCAATCTCGTACAGATAATTCTAAACGTTGTATTCCCATTCACTATAGTTCAATATGTAAATGGGAGTTAAGAAATGTTGATAGAAGAGTTGCAAAAAATATTCCTAACATATTCTTCAAGCTTAAAAGATTACAAATAAAGCAAATTAAAGACAAAGTCTCCCTTGCAATTAGGAAGTGTAAAACTAAAGGCCGTACAATAACAGCTAGTGAATTTCTGCGCCCTGGTTTTGTGGAAAATTTAACAATGCAAAATGATGGTTATAGAGTTCTACGGACATTGAGAGGTTCTCCTCCATACTGGGAACAGGCAAAGCGTGATGTCTTTTCTATGGTTCGTCAGCTTGGCATTCCAACATGGTTCTGCTCATTTTCTGCTGCTGAAACAAAATGGGAGCCATTATTGCAATCACTTTCCAAACTTGTGCTTGAAAGATCAATTAACCTTGAAGAAGCTAGATCACTGTCTTGGACAGAAAAATGTACTTTGATTAAGTCTGATCCAGTGACTTGTGCTCGATACTTTGAAAACCGCATACAAACATTCATTAGGTGCGTACTGAAGGATATTAGCCTGCCTATTGGTAATATTAAAGATTACTTTTATCGTGTTGAATTTCAACAGCGAGGTTCACCTCATATTCACATGCTTGTTTGGATAAAAGATGCTCCAATACATGGTAAATCCACTGATGTAGATGTTGTTGCTTTCGTTGATAAGTATGTTACATGTGATAAAGATGATAGTATACCTGTTTTGGTTAATTATCAAACACACAGGCATGCTAATACTTGCAGGAAGAAAGGAAAAGATATCTGCCGTTTCAATTTTCCTTTGTTTCCAATGCCAAGAACTACCATCCTGTACCCATTAGAGAATGAAAAATTAAGACCTGAACATACAGCTTGTGTTAAGAAAATAAGCAAATTATTGAATGATCTTCATAAAGCGGATGATAGCATGACATTTGAAGAATTTCTAGCTGAACTTGATATGGACTATGATTTCTATGAACAATGTATAAGATCTACTCTGAAAAGAGCCACGGTGTACTTAAAACGCTCTGTTTCTGAAAGTAGGATAAATAGTTATAATAAAGTATTGTTACAATCCTGGATGGCAAATATGGATTTGCAGTTTGTTCTTGATCCTTACTCATGTGTTTCGTACATTGTCTCATACATTTCAAAAGGACAGAGAGGTCTTTCAAACTTGCTCAAAGATGCTTGCATTGATGCACAGCAAACTGAAAGTGATATTAGACAGCAAGTAAGGAAAATTGGAAACCAGTTTTTAACAAGCGTAGAAATTGGAGCTCAAGAGGCAGTATATCTAGTATTACAAATGCCTTTAAGAAGATGTACAAGAGATGTTGTATATGTTGACACACAGAAGCCAGATGATAGAACAAGTCTCATAAAGCCTTTCTCACAGTTGAAGGAACTTCCTGAAAATTCTCATAATGTAGAGATGGATAATGTGTTAAAAAGGTACAAAAGACGACCACGTTCAATGGAAAATATATGTTATGCAGATTTTGCGTCCTGGTACCAAGTTTGTAAAAGTGAACGAAAAAGTAGTAATACTGAAACATTTCTTGAAGAACTTCCAGAAACAGAGTATGACCATGACCATGATGATGATATTGACACAGAAGTTTTTGTTGAAAGTAAAATAATAAGATTTCCTTGTGGTACACAAGTGCAAAGAAGATGCAGGCAGAAGGTTATATACACAAATTTAACACCTATAAATCAAGATAAGGAAGAATTTTATCGTCAGAAATTAATGTTATTCACACATTGGAGGAATGAAGAAAAAGACTTGATCAGTGGATTAAACACTTTTGAGGACAGCTACAATCTAAAGTTTGAAGAAATAAGTATCAATGTGAAAAGCTATGAGAGGTGCGAAGTTGAATATGAATCCGTGCAAGACATAGATGAAGAGTGCTTTGCAGGTATAGTAAATTCTGAATCATGTCATCAAGATTCAATAGACATTGAAGCAGACATGGATACAGTTAGTAAGTATGACCTTTTTGACCCAGGATCAGGAGCTAATGAACTTTGAGATTATGACCTAGGGGAAGATCTGAATATTGGAAAAAGATCCACAGGTAATGAAATTCTCCCACAAATGGAAATGACAAATGACAGCTTCTTTGAACAGGTGCGTCAATTGAATGAAGAGCAAAGAATTTTTTTCTACCATATATTGCACACAGTCAAGACAAAGTCATTGCCTTTCTATACATTCCTGTCTGGTGGTGGTGGTGTTGGAAAAAGTGTCGTTATCAGAAATATTTACCAGGGTTTGTTGAAGTATTACAATCACAGTCATGGTGAAAGTCCTGACAGTGTTAAACTATTGTTATGTGCACCAACTGGAAAAGCAGCTCACAATATTGGTGGCTTAACAATCCACTCGGCTTTTAATATTCCTGCAAATCAAGGTTTTCATTTCAGACCTCTTGATATGCGTCAATTGAACACAATGCGAGCACGTTATCATTGCTTGAAAGTAATTATAATAGATGAAATCTCAATGGTTGGGCGCAACATGTTCAATTTCATTAATCTTAGATTGCAAGAAATTATGGCTTGCACTAAAGCCTTTGGAAATGTTAGTATCCTTGCTGTTGGAGATCTCTACCAACTTAAACCAGTCATGGATTCTTGGATATTTTCTCAAAACTTCACAAATATCCAAATGTCATCCCTTGCCACAAATCCATGGGTAGACCTGTTCAATTTCTATGAGCTGAAAGTGGTTATGAGACAAAAAGATGATGGTGCTTTTGCTGAATTACTGAACAGATTGCGAGAAGGTTTGCATACTGATGCAGATTTGTCTATTCTGAAAAAAAGACTTGTTGGGACAGAGGATAAACAAAGAATATGTCAGATGCCACATTTATTCTGTACCAGAAAAGATGTAGCTCTTCACAATTCAACTGTTATGGGTAATATACCGGCAGAGAATGTTGTAACTGTTGAAGCTTTAGATGACATATCTGGTGATATTAGTTTGTCCCTGCGAGAAAATATTCTTTCAAAATTACCAGATGATTCAAGTAAAACTATGGGCCTCCAAAAAACTCTCACACTAGGTATACAGTTGCAAGCTGAAGTCTGTTTGAATATAGACACCACTGATGGCTTAACAAATGGTGCATCATGTGTCATAAAGAAGTTCGATTTCAGAGTTCCTGATTCTGCACGCTGCAGCATTGTATGGGTTCAGTTTAATGATAACTTAATTGGTAGCAGGTGGCGAACAAAATACAAACATTTGTACATGGATGGTATATCACTTGAATGGACACCAATACTTGAAGTGTGTCGGAAATTTACTTACAAGTACATGAAAACATATGTTGTAATAAGACGACAGTTCCCATTATACATGTCTGCTGGAAAAACTATTCACAAATCACAGGGATCCACAATGAAGGAAATAGTAGTCAATTTTGGAAAGAGAAAAATTGAACATATCCATTATGTTGGTTTGAGTAGAGTCACAAGTTTATCTGGAGTAAACATAACAGACTTAAATGAAACAAAGATCAGTGTTTCATCTGAAGTTGAAGCTGAAATGGAAAGACTGAGGTCCCAAAAAAGTATTGAAAATATGCTACCATGTTTAAAATCATTTGAACAACCAATAATGATTGTGTGTTTCCACAACTGCAGATCACTGCAAAAGCACATTGATGACTTTAGGTATGAATATAATTTGATGTCTGCAGACATCATAGGTCTTGTAGAAACTAGAGTATGGGAGACCTTGGGAAACAGATTTACTGTAGATGGATTTAACATAATAAGTGCCAGAAAGGAAGATTGTGCTCATGGGTTAGCCATATATTATAGATGTTCGGTAAATGTTGAAATGATATCATGTGGGAATGCATCTGGTATAGAATACTGCCTCATAAGAGTTAACAAAAAAGAAATGTTTTGTTTTGTTTATTGTCCCCCAAATCAAGCAAATAAGTGTAATTTCACTCTGTTTATATCTGCATTGTGCGACATTGTTAAAAAAGTTGACAGTAGCACAGTTAGAAATATTACATTAATGGGTGACTTTAATTATGATATCAGTAAAAAAGCATCTTACCAGCCTCTATTTCATCAAAAATTGAATGTGGTCCAGTTAATTAATACTATTACAACAGATTATGACTCATGCCTTGATCATATATATACAAATATAAGTGCAGACAGTATCAAAGGCTTTGGTACATTAGAATCCTACTACTCTGATCACAAACCTTTGTATCTTGCATATAAATAAAATTAGAATAGCAAGAATGTTGGTGTATAGTTCTGAATTTGAAATTATTTGGTGTGCTTCTACTATTAGTATTAACAAACACAAAATTTGTAATGAAGTGTAGGGGTTATTTGCTAATTTATTATCTCACTGACTAAAACTTTAACATATTAGTAAAAGCTTGCCATAAGATATCAAAAGAACTTCCCTATTTAGACGAAATTGATGAACATTTTTACAAAATAAGAAGAAAAGATTTGATATTCAAAATTGTGAATAAGATGAAAAACATATGATATTCAAAATTGTGTATCAATATATTATTATCACTTATGTATCGAATGGTGAATATCAATGATACATTAATCTGGGATATTCTTGACAGCCCTACTAATGGTTATAGGCTTCCATTTACTCAACATGTTCAAATATCATCAACAAATTTGAATACTTGGTACCGTAAGTGGATATTTATGCTTCCAAAATATTTGTAAATGTCAAAAAGTGGACTTTTTACGTGGGTATATATTTGGGACAATATGATATCATGATTGATATTGTTTTTATAACATCATGAATTAAGCAAGTACATGTTAAGAATATGCCATTATTGCAATTGTTTCATTAAGTAGTTTAATACCTACATATGTATATTAATCATATATAAGAGGATATTGAATGAGTGTAACTTCAATACTGAATTTATTGAATAGGAAGAATAAAACAATATTTTGTGAGCCGTAGTGAGCATAATTTATTTATCCAACATGTTCAATAAAGTCAGTAATGAACTTACACAATTTTGATATTCTTTTGTCACATACCAGAAATAAAGACCGCTTGTAGTGAAAAAGTAACAAGGCTGTGCAATTCAATTTTTACGGAGTTGCAAAAGCAGCCATGTATGTGATAAAAATGTTGAAATAAACACTGATAATTCTGTAGCACATTTCCTTCTACATTTCTTTCCCACAAATATTGTTCGTTCAAAACATTCGTAATTTGTTCAGATAAACAAACATTATAAAATAATCACTAAGTACCTGAACAGTCAAAGATATTCATGTTAGATGCTGTTGATATCATTTATTAATTCTTTGTCACATTAATGAAACATTCTTTTCCATATAAATCTAATAACCTATTTTGTTATTAACACAAATATTGTTTTGTTAAAACATTTGTGATTTGTTCAGACAAACAATGAGAAAAATAGTCTAGTATCTGAACAGTCAAACTTATCCATGTAAGATTGCTGTAAAAAAAGTGTTTTCAGATAATATAAGAAAACTGTTAAAAGTAATAATAATTCACAATCATATATTTGGGTATAATATCAGTTTGCAAAAAACACAGGTATTAATATTATCACGTTGCAAAATAAACCACTTTCACAGTATTGCACTAAATACATGTATATATAAATACTGAACAGTTGAAAATTTTAAAGAAAATATACATATACTATTTTTGCATTTTCAGATGTCTAGCTTAAGCAGCTTGTTAAAGGAAAGAGGAGGGCCATACAGTAAGCCATTTAAAGTAAAAGTTGTTGCTGTTCTAAGTCCCCAGCACTACACTGGCAGAGATGGCACTGATAAGTCATCACTTACTATTGCTGTAAGTGATGGTGAGACAGTACTTAAAGCTATTTGCTATGATAGTAGCAAATATGCTAAACTGAAGGTAGGTTAAAGCTTATTCATGCATCCTTCACAGCTTGTCATTGATGTAATATAGAACTATCTAAAACTTGTCATATGCAATTTTCAAATTAAACTGCCATAAAATGTATCAGCTTCACCATTAAAAATCTCAACTGAAATCTGTTAGTCTCAAACTATATTACTATTTAATTACACAGATAAACTTATGCACTTTACTTGTAAAGGAAATTCTAAAGTTGTTATCAAGTACCAAGTGGTTAAGGTCGTTGACTTCAAACCACTTGTCCCTCACCACTGTGGGTTCGAGTCCCGACAGGGACTTTGGATTCTTTCATGTGAGGAAGCTATCCAGCTAGCTTACGGAACGTCGATGGTTCTACTCAGGTGCCCGTTCGTGCCTGAAATAATGCATGGAAGGGCACCTGAGGTCTTCCTCCACCAGTAAAGCTGGAGCGTCGCGCTATGACCTATACTGTGTCGATGTGACGTAAAACCCAAAACAAAACAAAAAAAAGTTATCAAGTAAACTAAATACTCAGAATTGATTTAAATATAAGTATACATTGTATTTCACAATTAAAATGCCCATAGAAGTAAAAATATTATAAAAATATAATGCTCATCATTTAGGGTAATTCTATGTATATGCTACTATTCATCCGTGCTGCACTTCAGAAATTAGAAACTTTGACAGGAGCGATAGCCACAGGCGGATGTGTCTAAGATCTGTAGAATAGCTATGGATGAATACTAACATACTTGGTGTCAAGCTTTATTTTGTCTCATTGTTATTCTTTTGATAACGTCTATGAAGTACTATGAAAAATTGAAGTCGGCTATGATCAGAATTTAATATAGTATCGACTTCTGTTCTTTTATGAAAAATAACACAGAATTTTTAAAATATGCAACGTTTTCATTTGGTGACAAAGTTGGGCACTAAATAGTATAATAAAATAGGAAATGGTGAACAAAAGATCTGAATGCATTCACAAATATTGAATCAATCAGCTGTTTTTAATGGTAAATACAGCTCACTCTATTTTACCATCAATATTTAAAATAAGTGGAGTTCCAAAAATTTTCATTTCTTTGAACAATATGTATTTATATAAATAATTGTTCAAATATCCTTAATAGGCATTTCTTCCTATTTAGGTTGGTAACTCTATTGTGATAAGAGAGGTTATCACAAAATCAGAAGATGGTCACCACATCATAGTGATGACCAAAACATCCAAAGTGTTAAGCTCTGCTCCACTAGAAGTAGACCAGACAAAGTTTACGGAGGGAGAGGATTTAATAAGACACAGACCAGCAGAAAGCCTGAAAATTGCACAGGCACTAACATCGCCACTAAAGAAAAGAGTGTCTGTCATGGGTAGAATCGTACAGGTAAGACATGTAACTAATCATATTTTGGATGTATTTTGAATACTTTGCATACTAATTGATATGATCAAAGTTAATAAGTAGAAAAAACTAGACAGTCTTCCAATCTGAATAAAGACATTAAATTATTTTAGGGAAATATTTCTACATCTTTATTTACAGAAAAGCAAACTGTGCAAACCAGAATCACATGTCTTTAATAAAATAGGAAATGGTGAACAAAAGATCTGAATGCATTCACAAATATTGAATCAATCAGCTGTTTTTAATGGTAAATACAGCTCACTCTATTTAACCATCAATATTTAAAATAAGTGGAGTTCCAAAAATTTTCATTTCTTTGAACAATATGTATTTATATAAATAATTGTTCAAATATCCTTAATAGGCATTTCTTCCTATTTAGGTTGGTAACTCTATTGTGATAAGAGAGGTTATCACAAAATCAGAAGATGGTCACCACATCATAGTGATGACCAAAAACAATCCAAAGTGTTAAGCTCTGCTCCACTAGAAGTAGACCAGACAAAGTTTACGGAGGGAGAAGAAGATTTAATAAGACACAGACCAGCAGAAAGCCTGAAAATTGCACAGGCACTAACATCGCCACTAAAGAAAAGAGTGTCTGTCATGGGTAGAATCGTACAGGTAAGACATGTAACTAATCATATTTTGGATGTATTTTGAATACTTTGCATACTAATCAAAGTTAATAAGTAGAAAAAACTAGACAGTCTTCCAATCTGAATAAAGACATTAAATTATTTTAGGGAAAATTTCTACATCTTTATTTGCAGAAAAGCAAACTGTGCAAACCAGAATCACATGTCTTGTCAAAGCTTTGATTATTCAACATGCTTCCCTATAGACAGCTATTGGTACAAATTTAAGGACATGTGACTCTCGGACCAGATTTTCCAATGTACATTTCCTAGTACATTTACTTTGCTTAACAATATTTGAAAAAAGTATTGGAGTCTGAATATACCGAAGACAAATTTCACGAATATATACATTTGCATATATACAATACAAAACAAATATTTCTACATTCAAGAAAAGGATTAGAATGGGATACTAAGTCTTATAAAGTACTTCTCCTTAATATTAATCTGTTCAAACCTTTATAATAATTCAGAAATGTGAAGTATACCTGACTTTTCCAGGAAGATGAGCCACAGAGAGTAAACGTGAGGGGGAGCGGGTCAGAAGTTAAGATCAAAAAAATCACAATAGAAGACTCGACAGGAAAGGCAAAGGTTACCCTGTGGAGGACCATGGCAGATACTACTGTCAGGCCTGGAGATTTTGTTAAAATAACAGATGTTGTTACAAATGTGTTTAACAACACAACCACATTGCAAACGACAAGCCTGTCAGCTATAGAAGTAAGTCCTGTAATAGTATTTATTTTGTAACTATTTAAGCTATTTCATGGCCGAGTGGTGAAGACTGTTTACTTACTTCAAATTACATGCCTTTCAACACTATGGGTATGAACAGCACCAGCAACTTCAGTTTTTACAAGAGATTATGCTTACATCTAGCTTACTAAAAGTCGATGGTTTTACTTGGGTGTCTGCTTGTGCATGAAATAACGGACAGAGGGGTTCCCCACCATATAAGCTTGGAAGTTGCCATCTGACCTTTACACTCTGCTTGTGAACTTAAACCTAACTGAAAATGAAGCTTTTAATGCCATTATTATCAAAATTGGCAAATTAATCAAAAATATGTTTGTAATTACAACAACTTGATATTCACTGACATGTGATTGCATGAATGTGAGTGTCATAACAAGTAAACATTAAAAAAAATGTAAAATATGATGTCAGCAAAAGTATCTAGGAATACAATATACACATTTATACTTCTTATTCATATTTAAAAAAAAACATAGGTAGACATATCCTCAGCAGATGTTTAGAATTGGAAACAATATCAAAATTGCAATAGTACAAATTCAGTCTTAAATAATACATATTTACTGCATGCATATAATGATTATCATATCTTGATGAATTTAAAATATAACCACTGTTTGAAGGTTTGATTGATGTTTAGTCAATAATAGTGTTATGTATTTATGTTAAGTATGTTTTCTTCCCAGAAATGTGATGCTCCAATTGAAAGAAAAATCGTAGAAGTTGAGGCTGTTGGTGTTGAAGAAGAGAAAGCAGAGTTGTACTTGACAACAGGGGAGATTATAAATGTGCCATTGCCACTTCTACAGGTAACCCTCGGAAAAGAAACCAAAGACGAGGTTGAACTTTGCACAGCCTCCGGGCCAATAACTCTGGAGGTGGAAATAAGTGGGGCAGATACTATTGGTATCAATCTAATGAATTAAAGTAATAAAAATGTCAATAGAGAGTTATAATTGGGGAAAAAAACACGTTGGATGACATTCATTCTAAAATTACTGCTCCTGAGTTTGACATTTCTATAAGTATGTCCACCATAATTGTTCAAATAAAAGCATGGTCATTGATTTCTTCCTTATAAAAACTTGAAAAATCTCCTTTTAAAAATCCCTAAAGCTTTGATATTAAGCATGAAACATCTTTATATGTTTGTTCATATAAAAGGATGGGGTCAAAATTGTCTCCATCCAGGAGGATCATTGACTTTCCTTATACGCATTTTGTAAAAAAAAAAAATTCTTTAAAAACCAAATTAACAATTATTCTGACTTGAGCGATTTGGACCACATTTATATGCTTAAGATGTGTATATTTTGATACCTGTTTTTGAAATGTTTATATATAATATGATCTCATACTATAATAATATATGTGCTGTATATGTATATTGATGCCATTGTTAAAAAGAAATGACAAAGCTCTTGTTTGTTGCCAACAAGTTTTTATAATTATTTACAGTATTGCATAATATATTGCCAAATCCCTATTACTAATGCCTAGTCAGCCAATTTTAGTATCATATCTCATTCCTTAATTTTAATATTATAAAACTGTGTGTCGTATGATATTGTTTATTGAAATATCTATCTAAAATGCCAGTATAATAGATATTACAAAATGTCAAGTCACATAGAATATTATATATTTATTATTGTTTAGATGCATTTTTATCAATTTGGTGTGTTTTTTTGGAAAACTATGTTTGAAAATCAAGTATACAAAATGGACACATAATTTTTTTATGATGTTAGAAATGTAATCGATAAATTGTCCAATCATTGAAAACATATATTTGTTTAATTTTCAAATATATTTGCAAAGATATGTTGATATGTCTATACACACAGCTTGTTAAGGATTTATTTCTTACTTTGTCATGATTCCCCTAAAGTCTGCAAACTACAATAATATGTTATACTCGGCATATAATTTTGTTGCTATGATTACATATTCGTTACATTTGTACATATGTTACATATCTGTGTATTCTTGTTAAATGTTCTCATATGACAATAATACTAAATGATCTCATACAAAAGTAGTCCATAAATAATGCCTTTTACAAATCTAATAATTCGTATATAATAGACAATTGTGTGCATTACTATCTTATATCTACATTTAAGTGCTAGTAACTGTTCAAATAAAATACAGAACATCTACATTTAAGTGCTAGTAACTGTTCAAAGAATACAGAACATCTACATTTAAGTGCTAGTAACTGTTCAAAGAATACAGAATGATGTTCGAATTACTACACTTACTGTATCACAAATGTTTTTCTTTGTTGTTGTTATATGTGTGCAAATAAAGATTATATGTAATTTATACAGAGATACAGGCTAAATAATAAACAGTTAATGTGATACAAAATATAGCAAGGTTCATAATACTCATTCAGTTCAATAGAAACATCAGAAACTATCTGATGAGTAGAAATCCAATTGCCAAGTTTATGTGTTCTTACTCTTCTGTATTATAGTAAAAATAAAAAATTGTTCCTAGTTTATACTATTTGAAACTCGAGATAAAAGTCACGAAAATAAGAGCATCAGAATATGTTATTTCATATGGCTTTCCATTACCCTATATCCTAGAGAGAAATAGGCAAATTATGAGCATGCCCTTCTCTCCTTTCAATATAAATATGGAATTTGCAATGTAGGTAACTTATATATGCACTGCACAAAAGGTCTCCAAACTATGCTTTTATCATTGATTACCTTGTCGAGATGCTCTACTTTTTTACTACATTTATCTGCTTAACATATGTATATCCTGTTTACTGTTTTTTAAAATGTTTTTATGTAAAATGATCTCATACTATAGTTATCTATGCACTGGATATGTATATTGATGCCATTGTTATAAAGATGATCTCAAACTATAAAAATATACTAGTATGTGCTGTATATGTATAATGATGCCATTGTTAAAAAAGGAAAGACAACAAGTTTCTTCTTATTACTTACAGTATTGCATAATAATTTGCCAAATCTATATTGGTAATACATGTACCTAGTCATCCAATTTAAACTTTTTACTCCCATGTCTAGTTTAAATATTACAAAATTCGTAATAACTATTATTTAAATCATCTTATTCATTGCAATGTGGCATGAGCATTTCTAAAGGTTAAACATTATGTATTTGTTTCTTTGTATAAATGCCATGTTGACCATATAATATTTAAACTTAAAAAAAACCCATCTTCACCATATAATATAAATATACTGTTATACTTGTTGTAAGATATGTTGGATATAATAATGTTACAATTATATTTTTGCATGTTTAGATATAGGATACCGTTTTGTATGTTTAGATAAGTTTTGATATATTGAAATGTTACATTATTTACAGTTCATTAAAATATAAATTCATAACCCTGTGTCATTATTTCTTGAATTAATAGCATCTATATTACATTTATATCTCATTGTTTCCAATCAAACTTCACCTTTCTGATATTCCGAGACCCAAACAAATTCAAGCGCCTTCTGTGCGTTGATTATATTTATGGTTTTACCTAATTTTTGGGTCTAGTATATAACTTTTATTAAATAACATTTCTTTAAGGGAATTTTCAGGTTTAAAAATTAAAACGGAAATTAAAAATTTCAATAAAGTTTTTTAAATTTGCCTTTAAAAAAACACTAAAAACCCCGTTCCTTTAAAAATTTTATACTAAAAAAATAAAAAAGATACAAAAAAGGGCAAAAAAAGGTTTCGAACCACATACCCCCAAATTATCAGGCATTCTCTTTAAACCCGACTGTCCTTTTGGTTGAAATTAACAAAAACCCTTTACATTAACCCGGGGCCCTGATTTAAAATTTCCCTAAGCCTAAAAAAACTACAATTTATTTTCTAAAATCTTCACGGCCCAAAACCCAAGGGGTTATCAAAATTTTTAAAATATCCTGTAATGTTTTCATAATTTAAAAAGGTCAATAAAATAAAGCCCAAAAATATCTTTACCCTATTTCCTATAAAATTTTTCAATGGATTGAATAATTTGTTTTTCCCAATAAAAAAGGGACCCTTTTAAAAATTTTTTTAAATTTTAATGCAAATAATTTTCCCTTTATATTAAAAAATTAAAAATAATTTATACTTATAAAATTTTTTTTTCTTGTTTAGTTTTATGTGATAATTGTGGGAAAAAGGGTTGAATAAAAACCCCTAGTTAACACGAAATGATTGTAACATTTTTTTGTGCATATTTTTAAAAAATTTAAACCAAATCAGCATTTTTTATCCCAAATTGCCCAAAGAAAAATTTTTAGGGGGACGGAAATATTGTTTGGTGTCTTAAATATCTTTAGACAATTGCTGCTTTTTTCCCTTTTTCCTTTTTAACTTCGATATTATCAAATGGGTAAAAGTGTTTTGTCCTTTGTTTTTTCCCTTCTAACTTCCGTATGCAAGGGATGCATAAATCATCCCTAAGAATTTTCTATTTAAAATTATGAGGGGTGATTAATAAATGTATATTTTGCAAAAACTTAGAAGCCATTTTTGCCCCGCCAGACGGGGTTTTAAAAAACCCCAAGTTAACAAAAATACTTTGAAATGGGATAGGGTATTTATTTTGGGTATTGGCGAATTTGGGGGTTTTAAGTGTGATAAATTTAAATTTCCCTTCATTTTAAATTGGGGGCCAAATCTTGCTTTTTCCCCGGGTCCATTCTTTTCCGCTTTGTTTCAAAAACCAAAAATTTTAGGGGTAAGTTTTAAATAAAAATTTAAAAATAAAAAAATTTAGGGTTTCCACATTACATATTTGCAAAATTAAACCCCCCCAAAAAAAATAAATTGTTATAAAATTTTAAATTTTTTCTTTTTGTGCGTCCGTCATTTCGTTCGCAGGAGTACACCGGGGACCATTTTTGGAAACAACTTTTTGGACATTTGTCTTGTCATTATTGGTCAAATTATCATAAAATAATCTCCCGTTGATCATCATAAATAAAATTACTATCCAGCACCCGTTTACTATATATAATGTATACAAGGTATGTAACTCACTGTAGCGTATTTCCGGACATGGTCATAATTTTGCTCTCGCATTTGTTTATAAATAAGACATATTATCAATACTATACGTACATGCATAGCACAAAAGATATATTTTTCAGTAACCTTTATAAATATTGAACAATCTATCTTCATAAACGATAAATGAAATATCAAACTTGGAAAATTAACTTAAAATTGCGAGGTCAACATGTTTTGTGCAAAACTTCCAAATCCACCAAGAGTAAACATACACCTAGCTGCTTGTCATTCGTAATAAAGTATTCTAAATATATATACCTGCTTCAACGTATTGATATCAATATTTGATTTGATTTTATTTCAGGGAACTTTGATCTTGGCATCAGTAGTAGGAACAACTATAGCTACCGCAGTTACATTTAAGTCGGTTAACACGACAGCTGCTTATCTCGTATACCCATATCTCGGATGGATGATTTACTCTACGATAATGTGCTTCAGTATGTGGAGGAACAATAAAAAGAGCATGTCATGATGATGCCATGATGATGATGACATGATGATGATGATGATGACATGATGATATGAACAACGTAACACTAAGACACAATGTTTTATAGCGCACTTCTGGAAGAGAGAAAACATAACACGTGATATCCGATTAAATGAATTGTTCAAATGCCCATCAAAGGGAGGTAACTTAATGCGTAATATTCAACATTTTAAATGACATTCACCAATGATTGATTTCCCATGCTTTGCCTGTCAATATGTAAATTGTAACTTATTTATAACAGCTTATGTATATTTTAATGCATTCTATTTGCTTTTTGTGAAAATAAAACAGATAATGAAATTGTGTCCGTCTTTTACTCTAGTTGCTTAGTTCAGACAACTCGTTCATTAAAGCCACTCAATACGTATTGATTCACCGCATTTTAAAGGCACGTTAAGTCTCGTAAATAAATGCATTATTTATTTATTTGTTTATGTTTTTGTTGGTGTAGAAAGGACAAACATTGGTATAATGTTGTAATAAGAGTTTAAGATCATATAAGAAGCTTAACACCTGAAGAAAATAGGACGGAATATGAAAGTATTTGTGATAATGGTGGCAAAATGTAAGCAAGGTTGTATTTTTTGACTTCCATACAAAATACCAAATCACAATAACTGTATTAATTGCAAACACACAAAAGAAGACTCAGCTGCATGTATATGGTAATTGAGACACATTTTGGAAACCGTGATTGGACATTAAAAATAAAAAGATTTCGAAACAATGAGTGTTACCATTTTAGGGCCTTTAAGGTAACATGCACGCTTATACATAGACCATTTAAAACATCGAAAGATTGCAAATAGAATTATAACATTGGCATATATAGATCTACCGTCATTTATTTTTTTACCGATAACCACTTTTAAGTTTTGTATTTATTTAATCTCATTTAACTTCATTCGACGACTATTGAAGACTGCAGTATAAGATTTATAATGGGCCTTTAGACACCAGTTGACAATTGTCTGACAAGTTGATAAAGCGAACAAAGTAATATTTATTTTTCCAATACCTATATATACCCGATCTGATAAAAAAAACGCCCTATCAAAGGTTATCAATCTTGCGGCTTTATAGATCCAATATTCTATCTTTTCATGGTGTCGCTATGAACGCGTTGCTACAAAGGGAGGTAATTGCTTAAGCGGGTTGTTATTTATGAATAATTATTATCGAACGGTTTAACTTGTTTAATTTGCTGAAAATTCTTGAATAAGAATTTTGGATATTGAGATTTGAATGGATTATTGACAAGTTTAGGATATTTTAACACAGTTTAGAAGGTCAGTAAAGCTGAAGTTTTATTTAAGTGATTTACTGAATAAATAGAAGTCATATAGCTGAGTTCATTAAATATCTGACAGTACATGTATTATTTAAATGTTTGTACAAAAATGTACATGTTCATTGATGAGTTGCTACATTTCTTTGCTTTGTTTACAACTGATTTTTATTACGATACATCAATGTGTTTGTTGTAACCCGGTGCCAACCTCGGGACATGGCGGGAAATAGCTGGGGAAGAAGCAAAGTTGCCAAAGCGCTGTTGGGTCAGTGCAGTCATTAATTTTGTTTTTTGGCGGGGCATTGTCAAACTTGTAGATCGGGGGTATATAGCATGTAATTTTACGGCCACTACCGGCAGTGGGTGATAATCCAAAAGTGAAAGTCCCTGATATATCCCGGATGGGGTTGGAGTTACAAATTACCAATTTACTGAATATACATGTAAGTGACCGAGCTCTAGTAAGCCTGTCTTTGTTATCATCTTGTGAGATGGTTATTTTTACAGTCAGACAAATACAAAGTTACAGCACTTTTAAACACTCACTTGGCATCCTAATAATGAAACGCAGTATAATTATTCAACGATATTGGGTTCATATGTCATGTTTGATATAATATTCAGAACTTTACTTTATATAATTAATTGAATGTTAATTATTCGATACGGTATTCATTTGCTGATTGTATAGCATTTTGGCGGAATACTTATCTCAACTTTATTAACAGATTTAATCTATCCTTCCAAATTTTCATTAAAATGGCCGTTTTACAGCAGTAATATACGGAAAAACTTTCAAAAACTTAAATACGTCAGAACAGTGCACGGGATTTATAAAAATGATATTTATACACTCTTCCATTTTATCAACAAACCTACCACTTTTAAATTTTTTTTTTTCACGATATGATCATGAGCAGTTTACTGGTCAGTCGGTCTTTGCTAGCAGTGTAGGTTTGAAAAAGATATTTATGAGCATAGGTATTCTTTGATATTAGATATCTTATATCATTGTATTTTGACAATTCAACAATCAAACTGTCTGAGAATTTTTGAGCCGTGTCACGACAAAACCAACATAATGGGTTTGCGACCAGCATGGATCCAGACCAGCCTGCGCATCCGCGCAGTCTGATCAGGATCCATGCTGTTCGCTTACCAACCCTTTTACAAGTAGAGAAACTGATAGCGAGCAGCATGGATCCTGATCAGACTGCGCGGATGCGCAGGCTGGTCTGGATCCATGCTGGTCGCAAACGCACTGTGTTGGTTTTGTCGTGACGCGGCTCTTTTATAGAAAAGCTACCATTAAAACTGTTTCAGATTTTATCATAATATATCAATATTTTTGTTCTGTTATACTTTAATACTAGCATCCACCATATACATGTATATCCAATGCCAATGGTCACTAACAGATGACGTAACGTGAAATATAGTTCATGTATACACGTATATCTCATGTGGTACAATTTACAATATAATAGTACTAGTAATAATACAGTTTATAGATATAGCTTTATAAACTTAAAATTCATTGTAAATTCATACTTTTGGAGAAATTAATAGTGTTAATGTTGAAAAGATATTTCTGCTCTACGTACAGTGGTAGTCTTGTAGCGGTTACACTGTAGTAGCGACACATAAAACCAAATGAATGTTTTTTACATTTGCATTTGTGGATCCTAATAATATAAAACTTAAAACATCATCATCATTAAGAATGGCGTTTATCTTGTGTAAATCTTATATTGTTATACATTGGCAAATAGACACATATTAACGGTCTGAAAAATACAGTGACATTAATATAAGCTATCTTAAAGAAGGAATCAAAACAAAACACTGATTTAAGTATACAATACAATCAGTAAATACTTCAGTCCTGGCATACACCTGTAGAATCAATTCACGAAGTCACCACCGGTGGTGTACCATCTATATAAAGAAAAAGATAATATATTTAAGCCTAGTTAATAAAATGAGAACAAAACGTCTGGTCTGAAAATCGGATTAACGAGTCATTTAGATTATCCAAGATTAATGGAAATATAAAAGTACACTCCTGATATAGGGATTGGTCCGCTTAAGCACTGGCAGGCATTTAAGATAGTTGTTGCTATTTATGTTTTGCTTAAAACATTAATTCGAGAAAAAGCACCGAATCCTTCCGAACGCCTCGCCGACTACGGAGAATCACGGAAAAGTTTGAAAAGTTACATTTGAGTCTTTGATTGGAAATACAGCAACAATTTAAAATTGTTTTAATACACATATCATTTATACATGTTCAACCTATGAATTATACAATATTATATTTCTAAGCGCATTTATACCTAATCAGCGATTAGTTTATACTACTTTATTTTAGTTCGATTATGTTGGAAATTTTAAACACTGTTGATGTTCCTCTTGTATAAAGTAGTCACTATACACACAATTAATGTAACAAACGCTTATTGAACAGTAAAGATCCTGTATGTTGTGATCAAAGTGGTAAACCACACTAAGTGAAATTATATATATGTACATAATTATGCAAATAAAACAATTTTCAAACATCGAAGAATATGTAAAATATGTACTGCAAATATTTGTGCATATTATATGTGATCATTAAAATATATGCATTCATGTCTTATTGTAAAATTTGACTTTAACTTTATAGAAAATAAATTTTTATTTCCTCCCCTTATTCACATGAAATGTTAAATTCGGTAATATCTTTATAAATAATGCTTTTTGTAACCTACAATATTGATAAATCTTAATTTGAGCATCATATTTATGATTTAAAACTTTAAATGGCTTTTATGTCCCATTGCAAAGAGATGTCACGAGTTTTTCTCGGCTTTACAAGCTATTTTTATCCGCATCTTAATGACTCGAATGACCTCATAAAATGGCATGCCAAGAAATAACTAAATATTTCTTACAAGTAATCTGCCTAAAATATACAATTGTCAATATAATAATCTGGATTAACTATTCAACAATATATCCATTTCCTAATCGGTTCTAAACTTAAACCATATTAACTTTATTTTATAATTATTAATCATAACTTTCAAATTCCAACGATTAAATGAGAAAATATAATAGATATTGAACAAATGCATTATAGTGCAAAATGTTAGAACTTGTTACCAAAGACTCGTTTGAAATTAGAAGGATTTTTACCTAGATAAAATTGCACGAATTTGTGTCTCTTGTAAGGCATAGAGGATATTGAATGAATGTAAGTTCAATACTAGATTTATTGAAAGAGTTAAATAAAATTACAATATGCCAGCCTCATGCGAGTTCAATAAACTGTGTAATAAAGTTACGCGAATATAATATTTTATTAATCACATATTCAAAATAAGAACTGTTTAAAGTTAAAAAGAACCACATTTTCATTGACGCACTTATAGTCTTACGCTCACATTTAGCATGTCTTTATTCTATGTATAATTCAATTGACGTCACGTCAAAATATATGCACACGGAGTCTCAAAAGCGGCCCGACGGGTATGTGATAAAATAACTATCTAATTTCGATCTCCTTTTCATGTCCATTATAGAACCCATAGTTGCTAGAGCTAGTTTCCGTAGAAACGTAAATCACAACCAACAGTTATGGTGGACTTCCAATCGCATTTCCGTATGTACGGACACGGGTATACGAGCCCAGATCTGAGGGCACCCGTCTCCAAAAGAAGAGAAGAAAATCACCACTTGGCGCAAATACTCTTTCATCGTCGACCTACAGGTATGTGTTTACGTCTTTACGTCACAGATATGAAATCGACGTTGAATTAAATAACCCGACTCATAATATAATAAAAATAAATTACGTCGGTTTTGTTCAAATTTTGTAAAGCATTTTACAGAAAATATTAACACATGTTAAAAAGGAGTTAACATGATTTGGCAAATTTAATTTAGTATTTAGAATGAAAATCAAAACACTACTTCGTATACTTTTTGTTATTTTTATGACAAATTAATCCACATTCAGTGCTACTCTCTTCAGATGATAAGCATGTAACATACTTAAAGGTTATACATTTAATTTTGCCGTTTTTGAAGAATGAAAAAAATGTATTTATTTCTGTGGCAATAATGTGCCTATAATTAACAATAACACACAATTCAACATAATAGTTACACCTAGATACGTTTTATGCAAATCTATTAACACATTTTATTCCTTAGAAAGCCTACTCTTGATAACGTTAAAAAAGGTAAGTCGCAGTTCAAAAATATTACATGGTTGAAGGTTTCATTACATGCACTTTCACACAGTTGAATTTAAACAATTTCAGTGACGGTTTGGGAGCTCCCGTGTAAGTATGGGTGTAAATTGGTATTCTATGGTATTCTATGGTTTTCATTAAGCTATCTGCAGATAACATGGTCATTTTAATCAACACCAGTGTTAACTGGTTAAAAAATGAAAATATAATTTTAACTACATCAGCTAAGTACGATAAATATTTACAAGTCTGCTTCACAATTTCACAATTTAAGACGTTATAGCATTTAAAATGACCAGTTTCTGTATCTTAGCTGCTAGAGCATTAGAGCTATCAAAAACATAGTGTTTTGGTTCATCGTCCTGTACATGAGGCATGTATCTGTATATATATATGGTCGTTTGCTTGTATTTGTGGCATTTGTTGAATGGTTTAAGGCAACATACCCAACATGTTGTCAGCACACTCGACATGTCAGCATTATGCTCAATATGTTGTTAGCAGTCTCATGAAGTCAACAAATTTAACATGTTGTCAGCAGAATAAACATATGTTGTCAGCAAATTTAGCATGTTATAAGTACGTTCAACACCAATCGGCACACTCAACACCTACCAGCACACCGGAACATGTTGAAAGCATGATCGACATGTCGGCACATTCAACATGTTGTCTGCACACTCAACACATTACCACCATTTTATATGTTGAAATCATGATTATCAGCATTTTGTCAGCACACTCGACATGTTGCCGCCATACTTGACATGTTGTCAAGCATTAAGATCATAATTTTATCAGAAGTTTTATTTATATACAAATTGTTGTGTACATTTAACAAGTTTAAAGGTCTTTATAATTTCCTGATAGTCTTTTATTGCTCCAACTATTTGTCTTATACAAATATTGGCAATATCATTGAGTTCATTTCAATTTTTCTTTCTGGCTTGAGGTATATTATATCGTATTTGAACACTTCATAGTAACTATCTTGCATATATAGGCCCTATTCACAACCATGTTTGTTTCTTTATTCAGCACACGACTGTCGAATAAACATGATAAAAGACCACGAGGGTAGAAACGACTGGGAGGCGTGGCTTCTGTCACATGGTCTATCCGCCACGTGCCGCAGTGTTGATGACATGCACTACAAAGAAATCGTTGATCCGTTAGAACGAAAGTAAGCATAACATTCTGTATTTTAGGATTATAACACTTTAAAGAAACTCCACTGAGGTCCAAAAGCCTAATAACATGAATTTCTTGACACTTAAAATAGAAAAAAATGCTAAAAAATGATTAAGAAGTACATTCGAAAATAAGTTGAAAGTCTTATTTTTTGTGCTACTCTTAGCTCGATTTGAGTGAAAAGCGATTTTCAGTTGTGGGTCATTTTCACAATCAAGATAAATGAGCAAATGATAAGAAAGTTTGAACACTAGTTTTTGGTCTAGACCTACATCAAATGCAATATTTATTAGAAAATTATGTTCAGTCCGTAATGTCAAAAAACTTCGTGGTGGGAGGTCTGAAATACCACTGATCAATGATTATGTTGATCGTATTTAGTATCACACATGAAAACAATTCACGAAAAACTATACTCGTATAATTCATAAATAAATTCCACCATCATCATTCGATTTAACTACTGACTAGTTTTAAAAATACTTCCCTTTATAAACGTTTGAAAGTCTCGTTCATCTAGATAATTGTTAGAACTGCGTTCTAGAAGTCTAAGGTGACCATCATGTTTTACATTTATGTGACGTTTTACGTATTTATAAATAAGTTATCCAGAAAACTGGAAATCAACTTCAAAATATTATTCTGACTGAATAGCAAACAGTGCAGACCATGATCAGACTGCACTGGTCACACGGCTAGTAGCAGTTGCCGCCAGCTTTATGAACTAGGTTAAAATTAGTAACAACTGAAATTCCCCTCTCTTTCCATTTCAGACCAGATAAGCTGTTAACTACAGTTGGTCTTCGTGGAACTTTGGACGGTGACTTTGTATATCCTCGTGGATTAACTGTTACAGCCGATGGTTACATCATTGTCGCTGACTCGGGAAATAACAGGATACAAGTTATAAGTAATTTCGGTGTTTTTATGAAAAAGTTCGGTAAGAAAGGCAAGAAAGAAGGTGAATTTGATGAACCAACTGGTGTTACCGAGTTGCCAAATGGTGATATTGCCGTTGCTGATAAAAACAACAAACGGGTCCAAGTGTTTTCAGAATCATACGAGTTTAAATATCAATTTCCAACCTCGAACAAGCCGTACTGCATTGCAAGTGACAGGAACTTTAATATAGTAGTGTCTACAGTTGACAGAGGTGTGGAAGTGTACAGAAGAACGGGTAAATTGTTACACAAGTTTCGACTAGCTGGACGATCTAGAGGTCCAAGTGGACTTCCTATCTGTGTAAACGAAAAGGAAGAGGTGATTGTTTGCGATCCTCTCGAATGTTTGATAAAAATGTTCACGTATTCTGGAAAATTGCTTTACAAGTTTCAGCCGACGTCAAACAAAGAAGGCTTATCAGTTATTCCCAGCGGTATAACAATCACACCTCTTGATCAGATTGTTGTTGCTGACACTCTGAATCATACCGTGAACTTATATACTGAACGTGGTGTCCTTTTGAAGGAATTACTGTGTCCGACAGACGACACGGGCTGTATTCAGGCATGCGCTCTCGGACCGGAAGGACATCTCATAACTTCCGAATACAGCATATTAGGACAGCATTGTATCAAAATATTCCGGTACCGACCGTGCACGTGTCACGCAACAAGACCTGGCTCCAGCAAAAGACGAACACCAACAACTCTAGTATGACAGTATAACATTAGGACAATACCAGAATTGCATTTTATCACTGCTTTTTTTACTCTAAATTGGTCAAAAACACTGATAAGATCTTAAGTTTATCAAAGACGCCCGTGCTATCCAAAAAAAGCTTAAATATACACAAATATACACTTAATATTTAATGAATTTGTACTATGAACACTCCCCGTTTTTAATGTGTAATTGTACAGTGTTATTTTAAGAGATTTCAATGTTTAAAAGCTTAAAATTAACAGTCAACAGTTAAGTGCATTGTAACCAAGTACAGACTAGGCTGACTTTATATCGAGGTCTTTTCGCATGCACTCAAAAAAAAAGCAAAGGTACTTGACAAACTTCATAGCAATATTACACTTTCAAATGTTTGATCCCAGTGAAGATTCAAAGAAATCCAAGTTATAACTGTAAACATGCATTGATATAGAAAATTTTGAACATGAAATTATTACTCAAGTACATGTACATGTCTTTATAGAAAGGCGGTCACCCGCATTGCCAACTTGGTGTCATTTATGATTTTTAATTTTGTTATTCTTTTAGTAATATATACATGTATACGATTATTATTGAATTTAAGCATGTAACGTGTGCAAAAACATACCTCTTTTTGTATATATTTCATTTGACTACAGCTAAATATTTATATTGCAATATTTAGTCATACTTAGTTTATTTTTATTACAAGAACAATAATATTGAATTACTTAATAACTAAATTTTCTGAAAAAAAAAACAATAATGGTGCTATTGAGCACATAAAAAACGTTAAACATAGTATTTAGACTCCTAGCATTTGTAGAATTGTGTTTTTAATTGTGCTTTACAGTATTATATTTATTATTTATATACACACATTATACAAAGACTTCTGATTAAATACTTATATAAAAGGTACCCTACTTTTTGTTTCCCTTTTTAGAACAGATTATATGTAAAATAGAAGCAGTTATTATTTAAAACTACATTTTGATTTAAATTAAAGAAAGATTGTTACATGAATGTTTGCATCACTTTAAGATCAGTCATGCGACCGATACATAGGGGGGCGTTCGTGGCCATGTGGTGTAGGTTGTTGACTTCAAACCACTTGTCCCTCACTGCTGTGACTTCGAATCCCATTTTGGAAACTAGTGACCATTGGTGGTAGCCCACTGGTGGAAGGAAAGACCCCTAAATATTTACTACTACAGTACGATTCATGAAAAAAGTGGGCTTTTATTAGCAAGTAATATCAACCACTGCATACAACAACATCATTTAATATAGAATGTTTCTATTTAGAAGAAATCACAACCATTTGCTGGAAAGTTTTAATCATATGGAAAATGAGCCAGATGTGGAAGCTGTGTTGATCTGAATACCTAATATATCAAGATGACAACTAGCAATTCTATATCTTCTGAAGACATGGAGTACACCTACTTTATGACCTAAATAGATCAATATATCTATAGTTTTTTTTCTGACATATTTTTTTATTTATTTTGTTTTACCTCTCACCAACACGATGCAGGTCATATTGCAATTTTGCAACTTCACTGGTGGAGGAAGACCTTAGGTGCCCCTCATGTACAAACTGACATAGACCCCTTTTTTACTATTAATAACTATATTTAAGACATTAATAACTGTAGCTGTCCTTAAGACAGCACGAGTTGTCCATAAGCAGTACACTCCACTAAAGTAAGTCAAGGAATATTTTTTTTAAAAACTTCTACATCTGAAATGGGCTTAGTAATTACAAAATTCATGAAAGTGTTACGTCCTTTTGTTAGAAAGTGAAAATCATAGTCATTAACAAGTATGGTAAGTTACAAAGTAATATCTTTATGCATAAAACACGTAAAACAATGGGCTTGCACAAAACATGTATTTTTAAATGTTAGTTAACAAATGACTTCAACAAGCTAACAATGATAATACACTTTCAATATTGTGACAATAAAAATTCACTTTAACATTCTGACAATAACAATTCATATTACAATTACATGTATGACATTAAAAAATCACTTCAACATTATAACAATAACAATTGACTTTAACAGTTTTTGAACATGTCTGCTGAAACATTTCAAGGTTTGAAATCATCACAGATATCATATATCACAGACATAGCTACTCACTAAACTGAACTTAAAACCTCAAATATTTATGCATAAATAAATTAATGAACAAAATAAATCAATGAATAAATATTTAAATAATAAATAAATACATAAAGCATCAGAAAAGTTATTTCTCAGACTCATTCAAAAGTTATATATCTTTAAAGCAGCAAGTCCAACTTTTTGTCTACTGTTGGGGTATTTCCTGCAATGTATGCCACTGAGCAATCGGCCGTCTAGGAGATGCCAACATGTCATTCCAGTGACGTTGTTGTGGTCCAGTAGAAGCACAGCCAAGAACTACTTTTCCAATAGGATCAGAATTTCCTATTGCATCATAATCAACCACTGTTATCTCCAGTCTCACTCTCTGAAAAAAGCGATGTTTATTTTGTTATTCTTAAAGATATACATGTACAATGCTCAAATTTGATATTTGGAAATATTGATAATTGCTAATTGATTTAATGATAATATAAAACAAAGTAGATATGTTATGCTGCAAATCCAACATACTGTAAGTGGACACATTATAAATAATATATAGTCATCAGTTTTTCAATAAATTTCTGCAATAAAAATATTTAACTCAAAGATGAGCATAGTATATCTATTACGAGGCTATTCAGTGTGAGTTGACACTGCAAATTAATGGACTACCTTTCATGTTTACTTTACAGATTTTTAGGAATATGATATAAAATATGTAAGAATTTCAACACCTTTTGTCTTACTTAAAGATTATAATCAAACATTTATCTCCCTTTTGTTATATTTGACTGTAAATAATTAAATAACATGTCTTCATAAATAAATATCATTGTACAATGCATATTGAATCTAAATTTTATTGTAGAAAATGAATAAAGTGTAGGGGTCCTACAAGTCCAAGTGGTTAAGGTTGGTTTCTTCGAAATACTTGTCCCTCATTGACTGAGTTTGAATCCTGCCAGGGATTTTTTTTCATAAATGGAAACAATTAAGCAAGCTTACAGATGGTCAGTGGTACTACTCCAGATGTCTGCTGGTGTCTAAAATAATTTTTTTTGGTTGGATTGTACATCAGACAAACATAGTATAGATCACATGGCGACTTTGCAGCTTTACTGTTGGAGGAAGACCTCAGGTGCTCTTCTGTGCATTATTTTAGGTACCAACGGGCAACTGTCTAGAACCACCGATGTTCTGTAAACTAGCTGGATAGCTGTCTCACATAAAAAAGTCCAAAGTCCCTGTTGGGATTCAGACCCACAGTGGTGAGGGGGCTAAAAAAAATGTCCCAAGGACACCTCCGGTTTTCCTCCAACAGTAATGCTGGAAAGTTACCATATGATCATTACATTGTTGTTGTAATTTAGACTTAACAGCTAGAAGAAGAAAGAATAATACCAGCATTAGAGGAGGAGGGATCTTCTCAAACTTGAAAGATTCATTAAAGTAGGGATGCAATGAACCATGTTTTACTGTAGTTTTCCCTTTCTTTAGCCTCTTTTTCCCCATAAACAATGCTATTTTCACATAGGGATCTGTAAATGACACATTATCAAGAAAGACATTAGTGCATATGATATTTAACATAACATACTGAGACATTTGTTTGTTTTGAGCAAATATATACATAAATGAAAAAATTATTGCAAAACATTTCACAAGCACTGAATTTATATAATGTATTTGATTTTGATACCAAACTACTGAATTTAATCAAGCCATCATGGCCGACTGATCCAACTATATACATATATATTATTTATTTAAGCTCAGATGTAAAGAACACTTGTACCTTTTTTCAACCATTCTCGAGAACGCTTCCTGGACTTAACCTGTTCAGGTGCTATATGAGGAGACATGGTCATGACCAAAGCAGAGCTTGAACCTATGATTGCTGGGTAATTAGGCAAAAACCTGAACAACTAGGCCACTGCTTCTCAATATCGTAAAATATTAAAAGTTGCTGGCATCTCACCACTATGAGTTCAAACACCACCAGATAGGCTAATATTTGTTTACATTAGAAAGTATATAACATTTATGTTTCAGTTATGTTCATGTATAATGATTGCATATTTACTTAAGTTATTATTCTTGGCCACATTTTTTCAAAAAGTGAGAATGATAACATTACCTGAAGTACCACCAATGTCCATCTTCTTGAGGTTTTTGGCTTCCAGTATGGTAACAGTAAGTGCCTTTGCAGTTGGTTTGTACCTCAATGAAAAACATATATCACCAAGTCTGTTTTCCTGTATCAACATAATTCTAAGGTTACTATAATGGTATAATATTACACTCTCATTAATTATACTTTCAAATTACATGTAAAGGGAATTTAAAAGCTATATTTCCGTCAGCTTTCTGAAATTGCTTAACATTATTCTTAAGGCACTGAACACGCCATCATCTTAGAAGGGGAGTTATTATCATCTTCTATGCATACAAACAAGATTGGGTTCACTCAATAAAATAATTCCCGTCCGTACATTTTCCACGAATTTCCATGAAAACTTCCGGAATTTTCATGGAAATTGCCAACTCTGGATAATTCGGACTAGTTTTCCGGAGTTGTTCAAAGAAAACTGAAAAAAAAATCGCGAATTTTCATGTACTTTCTCCATGAATTTCCAGAGCTTTTTTCATGAAACTTTTCCGGAGTTTTCCATGAAAATGTTCCAGAGTTTTCAAAGCAACTCTGGAAATTGGTCTGCTAAAATGACATAATACTCTGGAAAAAATGTTCCAGAGTTACTCTGGAAAATGTTCCGGAGTTACTCTGGAAAATGTTACGGAGCCACTCTGGAAAAAGTTCCGCAGTTAATAGGATCTGGAGTAAGATGCCATTTAGCCTTGAAATAATTCTGGAATTACTATGGAATTCACTCTGGAACATTCTGGAATTACTATGGAATTCACTCTGGAACATTTTGGGATTACTGAAATGATGGTTGCATACTAAAATCAAATGACCTTTTAATTTGCATGTGTTTTTATTAACAAATCCAAAAAACACTCTAGTTGTCAAGAATTCAAACACTTATAGTAATTTGCACATTTCACAATTATTTCTATGTCAGAGTGTTTTATTCAAACAAATGTAATTTAACATCCATCTAGTACACATGTATATATCCTTCACTTCACATGATGCAACATCTCCTTGACTTGTGGTGTGACCTCTCTGATAGATACTGAAAAATTGTATATAAATACATGTACTTGTGTTATATGCACAATGTCAATATAATTAGTATTGTTTAAACATGATAATAAATGATAAACAAGAAACATGGCAATGCCATGAAACCAGGTTTTCAATTATCAGCATTGTAGATAAATATGTTGTATTTGAAATACAAATACAAGCAACAAGCAATGTAAAACATGAATAATGTAGGAGGAATTGCCACAGAAGAAGTTGTTCACTATGTATTCTATATAAGGAAAAAAAACAAAGGGCCATAATTAGGTAAAAATTATCCAATCACAAAACCCCGACAATATGCGCCAGAGCACTTGATGACAAAGCTTCTGTGAAAGTTTGAACTAAATCCATTGAGAAATGTAGAACAAGTTCAGCACAGAAGAATTTGTTCACTATATATTGATAATTCTGTATAAGGAAAAAAAACAAAGGGCCATAATTAGGTCAAATATTATCCAATCACAAAACCTTGACAATATGCACCAGGGCACTTGCTTACAAAGCTTCTGTGAAAGTTTGGTCAAAATCCGTTGAGAAATGTAGGAGGAGTTCAGCACAGAAGAAATTGTTCATTATATATTCTTTATAAGGAAAAGAAACAAAGGGCCATAATTAGGTCAAATATTATCCAATCGCAAAACCCCGACAATATGCCCCAGGCCACTTGATTACAAAGCTTCTGTGAAAGTTTGGTCAAAATCCGTAGAGAAATGTAGGAGGAGTTCAGCACAGAAGAAATTGTTCACTATATATTCTATATAAGGAAAAAAAACAAAGGGCCATAATTAGGTCAAATATTATCCAATAGCAAAATCCCGACAATATGCCCCAGGGCACTTGATGACAAAGCTTCTGTGAAAGTTTGGTCAAAATCTGTTGAAAAATGTAGGAGAAGTTGCGCACAGAAGAAATTTTTCACTATATATTCTATATAAGGAAAAAAAACAAAGGGCCATAATTAGGTCAAATATTATCCAATCACAAAACCCAGACAATATGCAACAGGGCACTTGCTTACAAAGCTTCTGTGAAAGTTTGGTCAAAATCCGTTGAGAAATGTAGGAGGAGTTCAGCACAGAAGAAATTGTTCACTATATATTCTTTATAAGGAAAGAAACAAAGGGCCATAATTAGGTCAAATATTATCCAATTGCAAAACCCCGACAATATGCCCCAGTCCACTTGATTACAAAGCTTCTGTGAAAGTTTGGTCAAAATCCGTAGAGAAATGTAGGAGGAGTTCAGCACAGAAGAAATTGTTCACTATATATTCTATATAAGGAAAAAAAACAAAGGGCCATAATTAGGTCAAATATTATCCAATAGCAAAATCCCGACAATATGCCCCAGGGCACTTGATGACAAAGCTTCTGTGAAAGTTTGGTCAAAATCTGTGGAAAAATGTAGGAGAAGTTGTGCACAGAAGAAATTTTTCACTATATATTCTATATAAGGAAAAAAAACAAAGGGCCATAATTAGGTCAAATATTATCCAATCGCAAAACCCCGACAATATGCGCCAGGGCACTTGATGACAAAGCTTCTGTAAAAGGTTTTGGTCAAAATCCATTGAGAAATGTAGAAGGAATTGCGCACAGAAGAAATTGTTAACGCCCCGCCCGCCGTCCGCCCGCCCATCCGCCCGCCGACATACCTCAATCTAATAACCAGTTTTTTCCTTCGGAAAACCTGGTTAAAAACATGAAAGGGTGAAAAAAGTTAAGATGGAAAACTTTCAATTAAATGATTTTTGCAGAATATCAGCACAGAGTTATCAAGTAAACACCATGCTTTGATGAAAATAATTTATTTTTGGTCAAAATTAACATTATGATAAACTTGTGTCAATTATTTCCCTGCTTTTCCTATATCTATATAATGACAACTGTGTGTACCTGTACGAAATTTTCTGCACGGAAATGAGGCGGAATTCAATGGCAGATTCCGCCCAGAAATTTAAATTCTCCCCCAAATATACAAGTGTTAAACCATTTGCTTTTGGCACGGATTCCGGCCGGATTCCAGGCGGAAACGGGACGGATTCTGGGCGGAATTCGGACGAAATATGCAAATGAGTTGGGGCGGAATTTTGAAGCGGAATCTTGGGGCGGAATTTTGAAGCGGAATCTCGGGGCGGAATTTTGGAACGGAATTTTGGAACGGAATTGTCAAACAAAACTCTGGGCGGAATTCTCGGACAGAATTCATGGGGGCGGAATTTTTATGAGTTTAACATGATCACATTTTTTTTGGATAAAATTATCAATAATGTATCATATTAAATTTTCTTTCACAAAATTTAATACATATCCTTTAGTCCATATACAGAATAGAATACCATACATTCACTATAACACAAACAGTTTTTTCTACCTGCAGGTTTTGGTAGGTACTGGTTTTCTTAGAATCCAACACTTTGTTTTTTTGCAATTTTTTTGCTGAGAGTGTTTCAATCATAAATTTGTTTCAAATGTTTCTGATTATCTAAATTACTATTTCTTTAATTGATGTCTGTTTTAAGTCCACTGCCTGTGTTTCCAAGAACTTCTTGTGGTTGTGCTCACCTTTAATAATATTAAAAGATTAATAATCAATTAAACAAAAATGTAGTAATGAATTATGTTTGATTGCATAATTATATGCAGTTATATTTCATATTTTTTGATAATATCAAATTTTATGTTTCAACAGTATTGAATATTAACAGTGCTTATGCATATTCAAAAATACTAAAGCTATTATGCAGTATCTTATTTCAGTGAACAAGTGTTTAAGAATTGCTCTGTATAAGAATTAATTAACTGCTTTATTTGTGACACTATTTATTACTGGTTATGTATTTTTTCAAGGAAAGATGTTGAATAGTAAAGTATTGAGATTTAAAAATATACCTTTTCAGGATTAATACTGCACATCTTTAATGAAAACACCTTGCATCTCACAGTCAGCTCTAAAATAACTCCCAGTCTGAAATTATGAGTGTAAAATGTAATTTTAGATTGTTCCATTGAAAACACGTTCACATACATGTAAAATAATAAATGATTATGATGACCCTGTTCAGCTGTACAAAACTTCTGAATTTGTACCATTTATTCCTATTTAATCAAATTGACTTAATTTGTTTAATTTCCAGGAAATGAAAAGATCTACTACATGCTATTAATTTATACAATACACACAATCATTATATAGAATCATTGAATAACTTTATTTTTACAGTCATTAAACATGTAATTAAGATTTAAAACAATTATCAGAAAAAAACAAATGTATGAAGTTGAAAATATAAAAACAACATTGACCTCTTGTTACAAATTTTAGTTTGCTACCATTGATAGTTTGATGTAAAACTTGTTTCAGCATTAATGTAACTAAAGGTTTATAATTACCTGATTATGTTGTTCATCTCCTTGTCCCATGTTTTCACACTTATTTATCATACCAATACTAAAACACTTTGAGATCTTAAACAAAAGTATATCTCCAAAATTGTTAAAATATCAAGTACATCCTCTGTTCAATTTGCACTCTTTTTGCTGACCCAGATATCTTAGAGTTCAAAATTCACAACTGTATAACTGCATGGACAGGTCAATCATTATGTAAAACAGGGTTAATTTACTCATCATCTCAACCTCCATTCATTGAATGTAACAAAAATTCAAGTACAACAAATAGATATATATATAGAATTTAAAAATCATTACAAATTTCTGACCAAAAAAAATTGCAATGTCCTTCACAAATTCTGCATATGAAATTTATAATGTTATCTCTCCCCAAAATAATTCAATGGAACAGCCTGATCTGTTGGAATGACCAGTGGAGTAAATTAGTCATGCAAAGAGTTTAAGATGGTGGGAAACTGCTGGTCAGTTGAGTTTTATCAGAGCTCTGATCTGTGTAGTGTAAAATCTCAGTGGATATATATTGTAGTATTTATTTACCTAAATGAAAGCAATTATTGGGCATATTGGCTGATCAATTCTATATAGATTAAAAGGGCATACTATATGAGATTATTTCATGCAATGTTTTTGTTTTGTTTTTGTTTATTTTTTTATAACAAAATCATGATTTCTTAGAGTTTAAAATGGCAAGCACACTATCTTGTCCTGTGGCTGTCCTGATATTCAAATTTAAACAGCATTCTTATTTCAATGTTGCTTTTTATAAACTTAATTAAGCATTTTGGAGGTGAATGTTTTCAAGTTCTACACTTAGATTTATTACAGTTGTTTTTCAATACAAAAAAAGATTTGCTAAATTAGTCTGACAATATATCATTTGCCAAAATATTTAAAAACATTGTTTAGGCATATTGTAATGTCTAAAAAATAACCCTATTTATTCTAAAAATACACCTGTAATTATTGGTCAAGTATCATGCTTCAACAAAAATAATAAGTACAGTTGGTAAAATTTCAATGTCTGCAAGTGCAAAAACAAGAGTTAACAATTATGATTTAGACATCTTATATGTGAAATTCTGTTCAAGAAAAATGTTTAAGTATAGAATTCCGCCCATAGTGAAGACCATTCCTTCCCAAGAAAATTTCAAAGTTGAAAATTCTGTCCAAGATGAAATGTTTAAGTATAAATTCTGCTCCAAATAAAATTCCAGCCGGAATTTTTCTAGTTTTCCGCCCAGAAAAGTGAACAAAATATTTTTCTTGTGAGACAGAATGGCACGGAATTTGCGTTTCCGTTCCTGGTCCGCCCAGAAATCACTGATTCCGTGTCAATTCCGTGCCAATTCCGCCCAGAATCCGTGCCAAAATTTCGTACAGGCAATGGCAGTTTAAATTACTCAATCCTTCACAAGTACTTAATTACCACTGAAAGTTTGAGGGTCAGTATAACAATAATATATGCATTAAACATAAAGAACAACATTTTGTTCAGAGTTTTGAAAATAGCATGCATTTATATGAAAACATGTTACTTCAACTTTTTTTTACAAAACAAACTAAATTATTACCAGGATAGTTCTGTTCAACAGTACATTTATCACTTTTCCCTCATCTGACATCTTTTGAGTTGAAACATCTCATGTGACTCCAAGACTTGAAAGTTTGCAACCTTAAATATGTTGAAAAAACTAGAAATGTGTCCATAGGACACGGATGCCCCCACACGCCACTGTTCTGTCAATCTTATGACTCTAGGTCAAATATTTTTTGGACTACATGTGCCACAAGTTGAAAACTAAAAATCAACAAAGGGCCATAATTCTGTTAAATTTGGTTGCAGCAAAAATTCTTTCCTTTACTGCCATCTACACATTAAGGTTGTTCATCCCTGGAAGTTTAAGCAAAATCTGCCATCCGGTTTAAGAGGAGTTGCATTCACAAAATTTCTACATAGTATATAGTGAAAAAATCAACAAAGGGCCATAATTTTGTAAAATTTGGTCGCAGCGAAAATTCCTTCCTTTACTACCATCTACACATTAAGGTTGTTCATCCCTGTAAGTTTAAGCAAAATCTGCCATCCGGTTTAAGAGGAGTTGCGTTCACAAAATTTCTACATAGTATATAGTGAAAAAATCAACAAAGGGCCATAATTCTGTTAAATTTGGTTGCAGCAAAAATTCCTTCCTTTACTACCATCTACACATTAAGGTTGTTCATCCCTGTAAGTTTAAGCAAAATCTGCCATCCGGTTTAACAGGAGTTGCGTTCACAAGATTTCGGGACGTACGGACGGACGGACGGACTGACAGACGGACGGACAAGTGCAACGCTATATGCTCCCACATTGTGGGGGCATAATAAACATATGTACATGAGTAACAAGAAATTACAATTAAGGCATATTATGAATTTTATTAAATGTGAATTTGGAAATTCATTGCTTGATATGGAATCTGTTACAATCACCAATATTTTGAATGGAAAATAATTATCTCTGATTTAAAATTTCCCGCCATTTTTAAAAAAAAGATTTTCTTAAGTATCTATCTAATATTGAAAAGTTACATGCATGTAGAAATACATTTGTTCTGCAAGGGTATTAAGTTACTTGGGAACTACAGTGTAATATAGTATGTGTAAACCTGCTTTACCTCTTTCTATTCTCTTATATCAGATAGGTGAGTTATGAAACCAGTGGGTTCCACTTGAGGGGTCATAAATATTTACATTGTGGCTGATGCTGATTTGAAGGTTCCAGAAATTAATCACTATGCATAAGTTACTTCTACACAGGATGAATATATAAATTATATATACTTCAATAGAGATACATAATAAATTTATCATCAATTAATAAAGAAATATAAGTGCATAACAATTACATTTGTTCTTAAATTTAAATTGTTTCTCTTTAATTGTGTATTTATTTTTTCTAACTAAGGGTAATATATAATAATGAACCACTCAGATCAGGCTTGATATGAGATACCTTGAAAATAATGAGAGTTAAATGAAAAAATAACTTAATGCATTTTCAATGCCAAAGTGTGGCAATGGGGTTGTCTTTATTTTAATTATGTCTTAAAACCAGAAAACTGTATTATATTAAAAAGATTATTTATGCTTTTAACTTAGGAAAAAATATTAAAGTTTAATGTATTAAATGAAGTATACATAAATGCAGCAATCAAATGAAAATGCAGCAATCAAATGAAAATTTCCTAAGTCCAAAACTTTCTCAAAAATGACTAAGTGTTTTCCAGAGTAAAACTCCTTGAAAATTGTCTAAGTGTTAACTTTCCAGAGTTTCAAGAAGTGTTTCATGGTTATTTCTTTGATGAAAAAGTCAAGTTCCAGAGTTCTCCATGAAAATTGTTCCAGAGTACTCTGTAAATACTGTGGAAAAAAGCTTTTTTCATGAAAATTCATGGAAAATCGGTTATTTTCCAGAGTTTTTCCAGAAAGACTGTGGAAAATCTACAGACTGGTGAACCGGGTGATGCTCCTCGACTAGGTTTTGGACACAGAAAAGTATATCTTTTGTAGTTTCAGAGTTATGTCCCAGACAAAGTTCAAAGAGTGATAATTCCAAACTTAGGCAAGGCAGAGTTACTGTTCTTTGCTCTACACTTCTTCTCAATAAGATCTATCTACTGACTTGTGTACGACACGTTGTCTCAATATGTTGATCATTTCTGTCAAATAGTTGTAAAATCCGACTTCAAATAACAAAGTTATGGGCCGGACACGATTTTGCTTCAAGGTAATGCTGTGACCTTGACCTTCAAGGTAGCAACCCAAATGTTGTGCGCGACACGTCGTCTCAATATGGTGATCATTTCTGTGAAATAGTTGTAAAATCCAACTTCAAATAACAAAGTTATGGGACGGACAACCCGGCGACTATATGCTTCCCCGAAATTTTTCGGGGAGCATAATAAAACAATACTTACTTTTTCATCAGCTTCTGGGCTTTCCAAATTTATCCATATTCCAGATGACTTGCCAAAGTCTATGGTATTTAGTGGGACTTGAACCTGACCTATCTGATCGTGCATGGAAAAGCGATCAAAATCATAAACTGCAAACACTAATGTTTTTAATGTCACTTCAGCAAAGGGAACCTGAAATGGCATGCAGAGCCTTGTTAAAATGAAAACAAGAGCACCGCTAGGCGGAGCATTATATGCCCGAAAGTGCTTTTTTTTTTTAGTAAGGATGAAGCATTTGTAAGGCATTACATATATTAAATAAAGTATTACCTTCCTCCAATAAAGTTTGAATATTGTGGGCCAAATGAAACTTAAGCTATACTCTGGAACCTGTTTTCAGTTTTGAGGTAATAGTGACCTTGAACTTTGACCTTGTGACCCCAAAATCAATAGGGGTCTTCAACCCAATATGGAAAATCATCCTATGAAGTTTGAACACTATGGGCCAAATAGAAATTAAGTTGTGTTCTGAAAACTGTTTTCAGTTTTAAAGTAATAGTGACCTTGACCTTTGACCTTGTGACCCCAAAATCAATAGGGGTCTTCTACCGATTATAGACAATCATCCTATGAAGTTTGAATATTGTGAGCCACATGGAACTAAAGTTATGCTCCGGAAACTGTTTTCAGTTTTAAGGTAATAGTGACCTTGACCTTGTGACCCCAAAATCAATAGGGGTCTTCTACCCAATATGGACAATCGTCCTATGAAGTTTTAATATTGTTGGCCATTTGGAACTTAAGTTATGCTCCGGAAACTGTTTTCAGTTTTAAAGTAATAGTGACCTTGACCTTTGACCTTGTGACCCCAAAATCAATAGGGGTCTTCTACCCAATATGGACAATCATCCCATGAAGTTTGAATATTGTGGGCCAAATAGACCTTAAATTATGCTCCGGAAACTGTTTTCAGTTTAAAAGTAATAGTGACCTTGACCTTTGACCTTGTAACCCCAAAATCAATAGGGGTCTTCAACCCAATATGGACAATCATCCTATGAAGTTTGAACACTGTGGGCCAAATGGAACTTGAGTTATGTTCCAGAAGCTGTTTTCAGTTTTAAGGTGATAGTGACCTTGACCTTGTGACCCCAAAATCAATAGGGGTGTTTAACCCAATATGGACAATCATCCTATGAAGTTTGAATATTGTGGGCCACATGGAACTTAAGTTATGCTCCGGAAACTGTTTCCAGTTTTAAAGTAATAATGACCTTGACCTTTGACCTGGTGACCCCAAAATCAATAGGGGTCTTCTTCCCAATATGGACCATCATCCTATGAAGTTTGAACACTGTGGGTCAAACAGAACTTGAGTTATGCTCCGGAAACTGTTTTCAGTTTTAAGGTGATAGTGACCTTGACCTTTGACCTTGTAACCCCAAAATCAATAGGGGTGTTCTACCCAATATGGACAATCATCCTATGAAGTTTGAATATTGTGGGCCAAATGGAACTTAAGTTATGCGTCGGAAACCAAATTGCTAACGGACGGACGGACAGACGTTCTAACAGGAGAGTAATTATGTGGCTACTCTATTGTTCTCTCTATTGTTCTTTTTAGCCACACAAAAGAAAATAGCCACATAAAAGCATTACGGAATGAATGACATCAAAGAGAAAGAACAGTTACCTATTGTCCCTCTAGCCACATAATTACTCTCCTGTGAGTGCGGACAGACAGACAGACGGACGGACGCCAGGGGGTATAACATAATATGCCCGAAATTCTTTCGGGCATATAAAAAGATATTGTGGATGTTTCTGGAATGGAGACAATTCTACTGTTTTCATAAAAAGCTTCAAAGGAAGATGCCTGGAGCATAATGTGAACATGAACAACAAACAAATGTAATCACTATAATACAATGAATTGCATGTTTGTAACTGGACAATCATATGACTTTGCTATAATCTATATAAATTGTTTGTATATGACTGCTGCAAATTTTTGTGTTACAGTACAACTTCTACAGTGTGGCCATCTATAGAGCATTTTTCCATAGTAAGACTTCATCCTTAGAGCAACACCTTACAGAAACAACCAAAACAATTTTCTCCAAATTAGTGTTGCTCTACAGAGTAACTGTACTGTAAATTATATTTCAAAGAAAACATTTGTGTAGTATTATAATAAAGATTTCTGTGGAGTTAAATAGCTCACTGTTTATAATGTTTGCCTATTGGCCATATAAGCAAATGTAAATTATCACTTATATAAAAATACATAAATTTTTGTATAGAACAGATATAGCATATTACACAAACCTAGAATTATCAATTTAATATAAAAAAGAATGTTTTTGATGCAGGTTTCAGTCATTGTTTTGCAGAAAAATTAACAACTATCATAATATCTTTTAAATATCATTTTGAAACCTACCTTAAAAACAAAGGTTTCATTAAATACAGGATTTAATGTTTTCCGTTTGACTTTGGTCTGAAATTTCTTTTTTTCACTCAGAATGCTCACTACGACATATGGATCAGACATTCCAGTTGTGTCCATCCCAGGTAAATCTTTGGCTGCATTTACTGTAACATTGAGCTAAAATTATAAATATGGAAACTAAATGAATATCTAAATTGTTGTACAAGAACCAGGTTTGCCAGAAGCTACCTTTTAAAGTAATCTCATATATTCCTGTTGGAGGCAAAGTTTACAAAAGGATTTTAATCAACAGACTTCATTAAATATTGAAGAAATTCTTATATTCTATTAAAGGCTTCAAAAATTTAACCCCAAAGCATTTCAATGACATTATCAAACTTAGCTGAGATACTGTATTTGGCCAGAATACAAAATTGAAAATCATATGTCTGTGCTGTTGCTAGTCTGATTTGAGTGCAAAGCATTGCAACACTTCTTATTTGGGTCAATTTTCACCATTACAGAACTTTTTCTGGGAAAAAAATGGAGTGAGCGAATTTTGCACGCAAGTTAATGGTCTAGACCTACATCAAATGGAACATTTATTTTGAAAACTTTTTTCCAGTCCCCATCTTGTCAAAAAAAAACTCAGTGGAGTCCCTGTAAGCATGCATCGTGTTCATTTGGATGCCTGTCTGCTAACATATAATGATATAAAAATGAATGATTTAAATAATTAAATTTATCCTTTTTTTTTCATTTTACCTCGTCTCTGTGAAAATTAAACTCTAGTGAAATTTGTAGCTTTCCATGATACGCCTTTTGATTTCCCTGTTCATCTAAATCCCACATGTTCATGTTCACTTCATCTATGCCTGGCTGAACCTAAATATTTTAATCTCATAAACTAAATTGTAAACAATATAGAAACCAATTGTTGACATTATTTCCCAATATTTGACTTATGATGAAACAGAGGAATATTGCATTGATACTTTATAAACACCTGTATGTGAATATTGGAATGATATTAACACATGTATGGGAATATTGAACATTGGACTGATAAAAACACCGCAATCCGGTCAACTCGTCCCGTGGTCAACTCGACACCTTTTTGGTCAACTCGTCCCCTACTTTTGGTCAACTCGTCCTCAAAGAGTCAACTTGTCCCTAAAAAGGTCAACTTGTCCCCTACTTTTGATCAACTCGTCACTATTATGTTATAAATCAATGTCTTTGAATAGTTCTTTTATGTAATATCTTAATACATTTGATTGAAATCGAATTATTAATAAAATAATGTCTTTTTATGTGCATTTTAATGTTCTTTATCTAAGTGCATGTACATAGCTTTGATGTAAAACTACAAAGAACTAAAATTTTGTCCATCTTTTTGATTTTTACCGCATCCCTGAATGGATTAAAGACTGACGACAGATTAACATAAATTAGAAGTGCTAAAAACTTTATGTGGTGCATATTGATCTCATTATAGAAGGATCGTGTCAATTAAAAACATGATAATTGTTTGTTGTGAAATTGTCAATATAAAAGTTGCCGATTTATTGTTAAAATCACATTTGTTTTGTATGCTATATCAACATTGGATTATTTCTTTTATAGTGCATTAATCATTTCTCAGAATTCCATATTGTTGGATAATAGACTGCTTGTGAAAGGCCTTCATGTATTCATACATATACATTAAATGTTATTGCTAATGATCGTTTTTGCGTGTGTTTTTTCTGTTGTTTGTAATTGAATAAGTAATGTTGTATCATTGCATATGAAACATTTCAAATAAAGATATGTTTCTTATACATTAAATGTTATTGTTATTGATCGTCTTTGTGTTCTTTATGTAATTTAATAAATAACCAAGTTGTCAGATAATGCATATATATACTTATGATTGCATAAAGCCCTCCAAATAACCATATTAGCATATGAAAAAGCGTAAAAAAATGTCAAATTCAATAATTTTATATAAAGTTTTTTAGAGGTCTATAATAATTTGAGAAATATATGAAAAAACAATGATAATAAAATATAGGGGACGAGTTAGGGACAAGTTGACCACAGGATGAGTTGTCCACGGGACGAGTTGACCAAAAAGGTGATGAGTTGACCAAAAAGGTGATGAGTTGACCACGGGACGAGTTGACTCTGAATCAAGACACCTGTATAGGAATATTGGACTGATATCAACACCTGTATGGGAATATTGGACTTATGTTGATACAGGGGAAAGTTGGAAACAATTTTGACAAAGGGTAGAATCTACTGAATCTTTGTTGAGTGTTGTTGAGATGGGGGAATAATTTATTGCTTTTGATATAGGTGAATATTAGGATGATTACAATACAGGATATCTGATCAATGTTGGCAGAATGAAATATATTATACTGAAATAATACTGACACAGTGATTATGACTTATAAAATTAAATAAATTTGAAATTATTGGGTTGATGTTGACATTGGTTAATATTGAAAAATATTGGATTTATTTTGACATAGGGAAATCTTGGCCTAATGAAAATCACAGAATCATGTTTGACTGATTTTGATAAAATGTAATGTGAACTAAAACAGTATATTGAAAATGATAAAAACAATAAGAATGCCATGAGAAAAACACTGAATTAATAGCTGATACTAACTGATAGCAAGTTTATATCTTACATTTTAAAGCAATTAATCAAAGTCTAAAACTAGAACTGTGTCCAAAGGACACGGATGCCCCCACTGACAACATATATATGGTATATAGTGAAAAAATCAACAAAGGGCCATAATTCTGTTAAATTTGGTCGCAGCAAAAATTCCTTCCTTTACTACCATCTACACATTAAGGTTGTTCATCCCTGGAAGTTTAAGCAAAATCTACCATCCGGTTTAAGAGGAGTTGCATTCACAAAATTTCTATATGGTATATAGTGAAAAAATCAACAAAGGGCCATAATTCTGTTAAATTTGGTCGCAGCGAAAATTCCTTCCTTTACTACCATCTACATATTAAGGTTGTTCATCCCTAAAAGTTTAAGCAAAATCTGCCATCTGGTTTAAGAGGAGTTGCGTTCACAAAATTTCTATATGGTATATAGTGAAAAAATCAACAAAGGGCCATAATTCTGTTAAATTTGGTCGCAGCAAAAATTCCTTCCTTTACTACCATCTACATATTAAGGTTGTTCATCCCTGAAAGTTTAAGCAAAATCTGCCATCCGGTTTAAGAGGAGTTGCATTCACAAGATTTCGGGACGTACGGACAGACGGACAGACGTACGGCGTGACGGACGGACGGACAAGTGCAACGCTACATGCTCCCACTCTGTGGGGGCATAAAAAAGAAAAAGAAAAAGCCAGTGTTATCTCATACCATTTCTTCTTTAACCTTGCTTTTGAAAAATTTCCTTTTTGTATTTCTAATGACGCTGCATATATTTTTGTTCATTGGCTCCAAACATACAACTTGCTTTAAACCTTTTTTGCCATCATTCTTTTTGCATTTTTTGCAACAAATGCAGCAAAGAAGGATAAGGAGAGATGCAACACATACTGCAGCCAATGCCCACACTGGATGGAACATTTGATGGTACAGACTCTGGCACTGTAAAACAAATATATTCAATCTTAAATGATAAATTCTCTTGATAAACAAATAAAATTGTATTTGTAAAATTATATCAATATATGGACATTTTTTTTACACCTATTGCTATTAAAGAATCACAAATAAGTCTGCCTATATAGGTGCAGAATGGTTTTTATGACATTTCAGATATTTTACCTACAATGATTCCTCTGTAAAAAAAGAGTCATTCCATGTGCTAAAATGGTATTATATATTACTGAATAAGAAAATAAGTTTTATTAATTTTATGATTGCTCCTGAATATCTATGTTAATGATATTGATCAAAGTCAATATTACTAAAATCTACTTATTTAGTAGATTGGATTATTACACTGGCCAATAGCTTTCAGAGAATTATTTGGTTAATTTCCGCACCAGTGGCGCATTTATTGCAGAAGCCATGGCTTTAAGGTTCATGTTTTGCTGTCATAAGCCAGAGACATAGATAACAGAGATAGGCAACATCCTAGCCAGTTAAAATATCATGCGTACCTGCTAAACTTAAAACTTGTAGCAAGTAAAACTTATTAACCAGATATCAAAATCAGTAAAATAATACATTTTCTGAAAGCTTATGCATTTGTCTATGGCTGCAGGTAAAAATATTTACAGTTCCCATTTAAATAAATGATACATCAATTTTTAAAGAGAACTACTTAATAATTGTTGTTACAAAACTATTCATATGATGAAAAAACAGGCTCAGTGGGCATGTTCTGCTATGTTTTTCTAAGTGAAAGGTATGGAAAGTTACCAATATTTTAAAATGCAGCAATAGATTAATGATTTACCTTTCAAATGGTACTGGTTGGGGACCACCAAAACCGGACAACCACCAAACCCGGACGGCCCATAAAATGCTTAATTTAGTATTTTCTTTGTAAAGTGGTTGTCAGTCACTTTTTTATCAACAATAAATGCATGTTTCTTCTATAATTAAGTAAATAATTTTATTTCAACCTCCTTAAATGGTAATATTTCAATGTCTATTTCAAAAATGTTGACGTTGAAATTTGGGGGTCAAGAAAGCAATGCATGACCTCATATACCAGCTATAATCATTATGCGAGTAAACAATAGAATATCCAAAACTTTAGCATTTGCTGCTGAAATATTGTTTATCATGTTGAAAATCACAAATCAAAACACCCAAACTTTTATCTAAATTAAATCATGTCATGTACATATCTGTCCGGACACATGGTACTGTAGACTCTAGTGTAGACAATTTAGGTAATTTTGATACCCTCCCTGTAAGCCTCAGATATAAGTGTCAATGCAATCAGAAATAAACAAACTAGTTTGTTAGTTAGGAGAAGAACCTAGCTGAACTGTGTCAAAATTTTAGGTCTCTATATTAAAAATTATAAACTCTGTATGGAAAAATGTTCAAAAAGTGTCCGGTTGATGGTCCCCGACCAGTATATAATATAAAAGGACCAAAAGTACATCCATCAAGTTTTATTTGCTACAAAATGCCTATTTTTTCACTTTTTGATAGGCATGAGTGATATTTTATATATAGGAGCTGCTTATGTCTGTTATCTATGTCTCTGCATAACCATAAGCGAGTTTGATAGAACCCCGCATATGTTCAGGTGTCACGGTTTTGATGGTCGGATCATGGTCCCAAACATCCTATTTGGGACAATCAAAACGGTGACTCTTCAATCATAATGTACATATTAATCAAATCATATAATTAATGTCATTTTATCACATGGCACATTGTCAAAAACATTCCAATGATGTACAACATGTGCAACTCTTCTCTTTTTTGCAACTGTGCCATGAAGCAATAGCGAAACAAATTAGCTGCAGTTAACATATTTGCTCGATTACACAACTAATTAAAGTATGTATAGAAAACCTTTTTGATTTAATCTATCTTCCATTCAAGCCATATTTAGATACAATTAAGATGAAGCCCTCAAATTTTTGTGGTTTCTTTTCGTTGCAGTCAAAATTTATGACGTCATGTGTTAGATTTGCTAAACTCCGTAACAACCGGGTCCGGAATAATAAAAAATTGAAGCACATTAAAATTTGTTGTTGTTGTTTTTTTGTGTGTGCGTGTGTTTTGTTACTATTCACTTTAAATATTGTATTTGTCACAGACATTGTTTATTTCCTTTCATGAAATTTATTTATCTGTCCAATTTAGAATATATAGATTTGGGACATAGACAGAATATCTTTTATAGACTCATCAAAAGTTAAATACAGTACATATATTAACTGTATCATAACTGACCCCAACACTTGAGTTATTTTTCATAACATAATCATTGTCTTTTAGTATATAGTAAAAGCTTAAAGTCCCAGGATATAATCTACATTTTTTAATTAAATCCACATTTGACATCAGGTGAGAATGAACTAACCAACATTGAATGTATTCAGTATGCCTGATATGATATACACTTTTTTCATTTTTTTTCAGGTTTATATCACATAATATGTATACTGTTGTGGGAGTTATACCCTTTCATATTGGGTTACATGGCATCAAGCGTAAAACATTCTCTAATATTGATTGGAGCAGGTCTGGTCTGCAGGCTCACATGTGCCTGCTTCTATGATGGGGGCTTAAATATTGGAGTTTTCCCCTATTATCAAAATATCAATATTTTTCCAGTCACACAGACATCTAAATAACTAAAGATTTGAAGGTTTTCTAGAAATAGTAGTGTTTAAATTGTCTGGTGTTAAAGTACATTCATGTTGGATCCAGTACACCAGTGTTCTCATTCCTCCAAAAATAATGTTGTTATTACCTCCCTTGACATTCTGTTGAGTGACATTAAAGGGATAAATTGATTTGGAATATTACGCTCATTGCCCATAATTCTTCACCAAAGTAACACAGAATTGACCTGAGAGAGGCAGTACTTTTATTAAAAAATATTTCAGCTCTATTATAAACAATACAGAACCAGTCTTCCACAGATAATAGTTATCCATTCAAGTATCTGAGAAAAATAATATTGCTATCATGTATATTTGATTTAAGGTTTTCACAGTGTTTTTTTTTTTTTTTTACTAAGTTTTGAAAGTGGTTTTTTTTTTACAGATTCAGAATGAGTGCTTCAACACTGAAGTGTGGTCAAGCTTGCATAGGGCACACATACACAAATGTTTCTGTATTCATTAACAACTGGTGTTGCTTAATGCCAATTCCAGTGCCGTATATATAATCCTTTCTATCAGCAGTCACTTTTGGGGTTAAAGAAATATTAACACAATCTAGGACAAAAGACTTTATTCACCAACAAAACAATTCTCTATGAATTTATGATTTTTGTACAATTAAAAAGAAACCGAAAAAAAACTTTTCCTTGTAAAGAGCTATAGTAAAATTAGCCTACAAAATGTGTGTAAGTTCACATCAAATTAGAAAAAGAAAAAAAAGACAACCTTTTTTTAATCTAAAAACTTCAGTGAAAACAATAAAGTAATCATAATTTTGCATCCATAATTTGTAACCTTTAAACTTGAAATTCACTAAAGTACCATATTTGACCTGGAGATAAAATCAGGAGTACAAATATTTGACAACATTAATTATGTAATTCTTGTCATTTTAGAACCTACAATAAATAAAAAATTGAAATCATGAAGTCACAACAATTTCCATTTTCAAAGCAGTACCGGTATTAAACTTTCCAGAACTCTTTTTTATTTGAACTTTTGAAGTTTTCTTTTATCTATAATGTATAGTTATCACTGAACAATTAAGCATAAGGTCATCATTTAAATTTGAAATTACAGTATTCATTAAAAAGAAAGGAAAACAAGGTTCTTTGATATGTAAATTTGTACTCAAGTTCTGTCTAGATAAGATAAATATGGTACCTGGCCAAAAGTGCAATAAAGATTATTTTATGAAAAGAATTCATTTACATGTACTTGTTAACAGCAGACGACAGAATGAGGAACAGAAGATGGTTACAAAATGTTTTAATGAACACATTCATATTATGCAAGTAGTTTCTTTTTTGTAAAAAAGTTCAGTCCAAACATCACATTCCAAATTGAAGAATTGATTTCAAATGCATACATGTGTGCTTAAATTCAAGAAACTTATTTTTTTTTAATTATGCAGCATGATATGCTTAATGCAGAGCCCATTATGCTAAAGGATTTTAACACTCTGCTAAATGTACATCAGAGCTGATCAACTGTGCATTTAGTTCTATACACATAATATACAATGCAAAAGAATGAAATCTTAGAATTATATTCAACTGCATAAAGAGAATCTCTAATAATAATGGAACAAATATGGTATTCCACTATGTAAAATTTTTTCTATTTATAGAAATAAGGTGGAGAAGAGTACATGTATACAAAATGTATATAATAAGAGATTCACAGTCATACAAAATGATAATTAAGTTAAATAACATAACAGCAATTATATTTCTTAATAGAAATATAAAAAAAATCAGTTTGTATTACAAATTCCCAATGGTAAATATTTTTATTGCAAATTTGGTGCAGGCTGAAAATTAAACTTTTTTTTTTCATATCAAATTCATACATAACATTTGATAATGGTAGAACTATGTTATAGTTTTCTTAACAAATTTATGTGAGAAGTATACTTAACACATACACACTAACTAGAGAATCTGAAAAATTTCTTTCACTGATCCAATAAAACAAAAAAAGAAAATAATCTAAAAAAATAACATATCACAGCAAAAAATCAACTAACAATTATATCATGGGATTTTATTATGAGTACATTGTAACAGTCACAACACAATTCCACAGTTATATACGTGAGCTACTACCTTCACTTGTCATTGTAAAGCATTACCCTTTTAAACTCTAGGAGAAGTTTGAAAATATAGCTTCTTTCAACAGGATTTCATAGATACAATATGTAAACACAATAAAATACATCTGCAATTGTAATACCTGTAGGTAAATTAACATTGTTATACCTATAGGTAAATCAACAGTGTTATACCTGTAGGTAAATTACATTGTATTACCTGTAGGTAAATCAACATTGTTATACCAGTAGGTAAATCAACATTGTTATACCTGTAGGTAAATTACATTGTATTACCTGTAGGTAAATCAACATTGTTATACCTGTAGGTCAATTAACATTGTTATACTGGTAGGTAAATTACATTGTAGTACCTGTAGGCAAATCAACATTGTTAAACCTGTAGGTAAATTAACGTTGTTATACCAGTAGGTAAATTACATTGTAGTACCTGTAGGTAAATCAACATTGTTAAACCTGTAGGTATATTAACATTGTTATACCTGTAGATAAATCAACATTGTTATACCTGTAGGTAAATCAACATTGTTAAACCTGTAGGTATATTAACATTGTTTTACCTGTAGGTAAATCAACATTGTTTTACCGGTAGGTAAATTACATTGTAGTACCTGTAGGTAAATCAACATTGTTATACCTGTAGGTAAATTACATTGTATTACCTGTAGGTCAATCAACATTTTTATACCAGTCGGTAAATCAAAATTGATAAACCTTTAGGTCAATTTATATTGTATTACCTGTAGGTAAATAAACATTGTTATACCTGTAGGTAAACTAACATTGTATTACCTGTAGGTAAATTATATTGTAGTACCTGTAGGTAAATTTACACTTAAACATTTACACTGTAATATTGTTAAATTTGTAGGGAAATTATCTAAAGTAAATTAACATTGTTACATTTGCAGGTAAATTAACATTGTACTCTGGAATGTAAAGAGCAAAACATGGAAATTATATTAAAATCAACAAGTCAAAAGATCTTATTTCTAAATGTCTATTTAAATGCTTTTTTAAACTTTATATTTTAATAAAAATATCTTAATAATAAACATTTCATTTTAAGTCTTAAATTCAAACATACTGTATTCAAGATAGATAGTTAATGCAAGACTCTTTACTTCATTCCATTTCTAGGGGATTTATTCCCTTTAACAGTGTATTACTTCCCATTACCAATGTATTTCTTCTCTAAAATGCATATCTCTGACAAAAAAACAGGACAACACCAACTTTGAAATCTTTACATGAAAATTTGACAACTATCTTTTACTTTTTAACAGTTATTTTGCCAAAATTTACAAAAAAAAATTCATATAACTATTATAGATTTATAAAAACATATCTCACTACTGTGAAATATTTAATGTTTAGTTTACAATAACTTTGTCATATTTCATCATGCATTTCTACAGTACAAACACATCCATGTGATTTATTTTTATATTTTTTTTTGTTGTCACATGACAAAAGTTTTTTTTCTCTACACATTACAACATGCTATACAGAAATGTGATGACTTATTATGTATGAGATAATGTTAATTTATACACATTTACAACCAATTCTTATTAAATACTACAAATAATGATTATAACACACTTGTCTGTATTCTCGTATGTTAACATGTATTAAACTAGTATGTTATTTACTGAGATTTCAATGAAAAAACAAAAAAAATAAAAATAAAATAAAAGAATGTTAAACTTTGATTTAGAACATTATCGTTTAAATTTCAATGGTGAAAAAAAGCATGTAGCTAATTCGAGCCACTCTCAGGTCTGCTTTCTGGAACAAACCTTGCTGGTGTCATATGAGGAAACATGACTGTGACAACAGTAGGGCTCAAACTTAAGGTCCCTATGTTGTGCAGGGATGGGTTCAACACTCGTTATTCGCCTACTACGAGTACAAGTACTGAATTCACTGTTGATAGGCAGTTACCCTGACAACAAGGTCACCCAAACAACTGAGTCATCACACCCCATCATTAATTATGTTCATTTACAATCTTTCACATGCATTTAAGAAATTCCCTTTTTATGCTGGCACATGTTCAAACAAAACTAAACACACCAGCATACAAACAAGTGTCTTATGTATGAAATTATCTGAAAAAATCAAACAAATACATTGCATTCATTACTTTGATGTCGCTTACTATAAGTTTCAATTACGTCAGACATGATAAATTGATGGGTATGATTATTAATCATTCAGTTTTAAAATAAAATTTCAAACCAGTGACTTTTAATACATTATATAAAGCTCCATGTTAAATCAATTCTTCTTTAAAATCAATGCAAACATAGGTGTGTTTATTCTATTGTTTGGCATCAATCGTGTATGGTGTTATGTTGTTGTTGCTTTTTCAGATTTTTGTTTTTGTTTTTTAAATATTAGGCACAAATCTTAGTGCAACCTGAACATGTTTCATATTTAAGAATTTATCAAAGTCTTAAAAGTAATTTTAAAAACTATATCCTGAATTATTTCCTCGTTATCAGGCTGACTTGTAATATTTTATATTGGAACACCAAGAAAAATGTGGCATGGACAGCAGCTGTTGATGTGATAGTTGAGATTTCAGAAATCACAATGATTCTTAAATATACCTTATACTTCTATCATATCACACAATAATTTTGACTTTAAATTCACATGTACAGTTTATTTAAGTAGATCATATATGAGTACACCTGCACTCAATGCTACAGTGTTTAAGATTAATAAAGTAAGAGTATCTAACCAGATGTGAATATAGATCTAGAATAACTGTTTCTATCTAGAATCAAAACAGTTTTACGTTAAACATTTTATTACCTAATTTTCTGATCATGTGAAAAGAAAACACAAGTAAATACTGATTAAACAAAAGAATCAAAATTTGTATCTTTATCGATAAACAACATCCAAGCATAATGTATAATATATGTGATTTTATAGAAGTTTATGACAATTCCTGTCATACTGTGAAATATAAAGTAATATCATATTAAGATATATGTATATATATAGAAACATTAAGTTCATAAAACATTCTCTCACAGAAACCTTGGTCCCAAAACTGATGACTTTTTTTCTACAGTTCTACGTAATGTTTTTTATTTAAGAAATGAAATCAAGTTTATTTTACAAGTCACTTCTGCTTTTCATAGACTGGTATTACAAAGACAATATGTTTTTCCCAGAATTCCATTGCCTCTCTCTATGCTTGACTGTGTCTCTAGTTTTTCTCAGGAACTTCTTGTAGAGTATGCCACTGGGCAATAGGACGCCTGGGGTTAGCCAGCATGTCACTCCAATGACGTAGTTCAGTGCCGGTGGAGTTGCAGCCAAGAAGTACCCGTCCGATCGGCTCCGAGGTTCCGATACGATCATAATCAACCACTGTTATGATCAAGGTGACTTTCTGAAATAGTTATAAGGTTCTATAGTAAACAACAATTAATTATCAGTGAATAACTACATGTAAATCTAACTAATAGATAGCTAACTAAATCAATAATTTTCCCTCTAATAAAAAATAACATTTGACAAAACTGTGATTCATTTACACTTTTTAAGGGGCAGAACTCTTAATTGATTAACAACTTTAACAATGTTATCACCCTTTACAAATGAAATGGATAATTTACAAAACAAGTTGTGAATATTGTAGATTATATGATTTGTGACATACATGTATATGCCTTATATTAACAAAGATAAAGTCAACATTTCTTATCATTTTATAAAAATAAAAAGAGGGCAAATTAAATCCACATTTCTAATATAATGTAATATATTATACCAAAGTCAATAAAAAATGAATAAGCTTTGAGCTTCCAGTTCAATCCACTTTATCATGATTTTGTATAAATTTTGTGTTTGATGTGTAGTATTGTAACTTAATAAAAAATAAATATGTTTTTAAACCAAATATTTCTACAGAATTGAAAATTTTCTTTCAACATGTTGAAAATATATCACATTTTATGTTAAGCATGTTTCCAACTCTTACTTGTACCTTGCCAAATATTTTTGTAAAGGCAGTAATTTTAGGAATATATTTATCAAAATACTTGACTTTAACCAACGATATAGAGACTGGTATAACCGCATGAATGTACAGGCTGCGAAGCAAATTATTACCATGTTCATTAGCATTGATATCCAAGTGTCATATCAGTAACTTCCTGTTCTGCTGTATTATTACAAACATACCTGTAGCCTTTGTTTTGATGGGTTTCATTCCATACTTGCACTGCAAAGGTTAAATGGGGAATTTCCAGCACAACTTGTGGGGGAAGACCTCCATCACCCCATTGTACATTTTATTTTAGGCACAAGTGTACAACTTAAGTAGAATCACTGACCCTCTGTGAGCAAGCTGGATACAAGTAGCTCGTCCATGTGCAATATAGTCCCTAAAATCCCTGTCGGGATCAAACCCAAAGTAGTTACGGGCAAGAGGTTCAAAGTCTGCCACACAGCAATTGCCAATGGTAACATTTGGTTTTACAATCAACATTTGGAGCTTTAATCCTTACAAATAAAACTCCAAAACATTTTCTTCGTATATTTGTTAAAGTTCATGCTCTATTCAGTCATGCACATATACAAGTCAATACAATGCAGGGTCGTAAGCAAGCCAAAAACAGACATGCAGAATTAACAGTCCTGAGACAATCTTATACAACAGATGTAAGACTTTTTAATATGATTATATATATGTAACATGATATAACATTATTTATCATTTCATACTGACTTGTATTAAATGAGTCTAGGAAATGTTATTAATATGTGGGAAGCTTCATGCTACCATTTTTGGTACGAGCCTATAATAATTATTAACATGAATTATAAGATTCTACTTGGTCAAATGACACTACAGAGCATGAAAACTTAACAGGTCGTCCTTTTGTTAATTAAATAGACTAGTAATCCAAGAATTGCTGTCTGCGTGGTCAGAGCCAGCAATGGATCAGAGTGTGTCTTGAAGCTTATAGCTTCCTTCATATCAATCAAACTAAAATAAATTCTGTACAAACTAAAACAATTCCAGCAATACTTATTTTTTCATATCTTAATGCTAAATGAGCAAAAATTTCATTTCCAGAAATAACCAGGACAAAGCAGTTGACGTTAAGTTTTTTGCTCAGTGAAATAATGACTTTCCATATTAACTGGACAAAGTGGTGGGGGAAGACTTCAGGTGCCCCTCTGTACATTATTTCAGGTACAAACAGGCGTCTGAGTAGAACCACTGACATTCCGTAAGCTAGCTGGATAGCTTTCTCACATGTAGCGATGCTTGCATGGCTTGAATCTACAGTGGTGACAGGCAAGTGATTTGAAGTCAACAACCTTAACCACTCGTCCCTGGCCTGATACTTTGGTTGCGCTGAGCTTAGGTATATGTACAGTTTATAGTGATTAATGTATATGTTCTACACAAGAAAGAAATGATAGAAAACAATGTAAAAGTCAAAGAGGTACATCTGAAAGAGCAGCAATTAAACATGTACAAATATCGATAATAACACTCAAGTTTGTATTAAATTACAAAATCATTAAGCTCAACTGTTACAAAAAATTATCATACTGCTTATGTTGCATTCCTTATTATATTTACTGAGTAGAGTAATGGATAACATTTGTAAAACCTGGTGAAAAGTGCAAAAATACATAAAAAATTTCAAGAGCAAATATTAATTTTACTAATTGCAGAATATGAAAATTCTATCTGAAATAAAAATATCTACAATTTAGTTTGAAGCTTTAACTCTAGCATCTGTACATGAAAGAGAAAACATGTGTGACATTCTCTAGGGTATAGTGTAATATACAAGATAGCAAGGTGTAACATCATGTCAGTGCTATAGTAATGAAAATCTCTGACATTCTGGCAGAATAATGTCTTATGGGAAATGTCGGTAATGTCTGCGTGTAGTGAAAATATCACTGTTAATAAATTCAAAGAATTTGTCTCTTAAGTTTGTTTTGTTGGATATTAAGTCACACTGTCACTGTAAAGGTCATATGGCAACATTCCAGCTTGACTGGTAGAGGATTAGACCTCAGATGTCCCCCATGTGTTATTTCAGGCTGAATGGGTACCTGAGTAAAGCCATTGACCTTCTGTAAGCTAGCTTAATAGCTTCATCAAATGAAAGAATCTAAATTCACTGACGGGCTTTGAATCCAAAGCAGTGGGGGCAAGTAATTTGAAGTTGGCCACCTTAACCACTCTGCCAAGGTGACTGTTTGTCTTTCAAGAATTAAAGTGTTTGTTCCAGTAAAAGATCAACATTTAATTCAGATGTGAACCTGATATAATTTTCATGAGTTGCATTGCCACAATTATAATTGAACAGCTGATGCTCATCAGGGTTTCTGCTGAAATATCCATTCATTTGAACAGATATTTATAAAAAGAATTCAGTGGAAAAAAACAACAAACACTAAACAGCTACAGTAACTGTAACAATGTTAAGACAATATACATACACACAAGTGAACAATGGACAGTTGACATACAACAACAATAAAGAGCTTACTATTGACAACACAACCACAAAACAGACAATTACCAGTCTTTGTTCAGATGAAACACATTCAATAGAAACAATTGGATTCTCACCAACTGTCAGTTAATCAATTGGATACTCTCCCCCGCATTTTATGACAAAGCTGAGCATTAAAACATCCTTGAAACTGATACATTTACAAAAAACACACTTTAATCTAAATTGTTTGTTCAACTTTCAGACTGGTCTTATATGTTTCCAAAATATATGACATTGATTTTAGATAATAAATTCAATTTAGTCGAGGAATGAAATTTACTAAGATTGTTTTACAACTTGTTGTGTTTGGTATTCATCCCTATGGCCCTGGTGTAATGGTTTTAGTTGTCATGGCAACAAATATAAAGTAACATTCACATTAGACAGTCTGCCAGAATTGTTATATAGGTTAGATAGAGGTATAAAGCTTCCACGCTCCAAATAAATTGTCACAAATTACACTAAATATGATATAGATCTAAAGATAAAAATCTCAAGAAGGAATATGATATAAAATGATATTATATCTACTACACATATATTTTTTATTCAAAATATTTCAGCCTATCAGTCTGTAATTTCATGTAAGAATATTGGTGTCACCAATGGATGCTTCACACAGCCACTTTAAAGTTGCAAAACAACAAATTAAAGTAAAATTTTTTCTACTCTGTGTAAAATCTCATTTTAACAACAGAGACTTTAAAAACATCAACCTGAAATCCAATCCAAAGATAAAGGTCTATGCAAGGTACAAGGTAAAAATTTGTAAGCTGTTGGTCACCCGAATGATGGTGCTCATGTATTAAAATATATACTGATGTCATAAACCAATGGCCAATGTCAATTAATAATTTTCTATAATAATTATACATTAAGACATTGTGATACATTAGGAAGAGTGAAATAGTAACTATATTGATAATTCTGCCCTGATTTGTTTTTTAAAGAGTAATAGCTAGACTATTGTGACTATTTTTAGAAACTCTTATCACTTGTTACTATTTTTAGGAACTTCTGTGACTATAATAAGAAAATATTGTGGCTATTTTTAGAAACTCTTGTGACTTTATTCTGAAACCCTTGTGACTATTTTTCAAAAACTTTTGCGATAATTTTCAGAACTACTGTGTCTATATTTAGTAACTCTTGTGGCTATTTTTAGAAAATCTTGAAATCTTTTGACTATTTTTAGGAACTTTTGTGTCTATATTTAGAAACACTTGTGACTATTTAAAGGAGCACAGAAGCTTGCTAACACAGAACAACACAGATTATATGGTGCACATTTCCTAGTATTAGCTACATGTATTATTTTCTAGGGTTACAAAGACAACATCTACTGTGAACATTGGGGTTATCTGTCTATATTAATAGGTTACAAGTATACCTGTATCTGTTCAAAAGGAACCTCAAACGTAAAGGACTCGTTATAATACGGGTTCAGGGTACACTTTTTTATTGTAGTTTTCTTCTTCTTAACCCTTTTCCCATTTTGCATCAACGAAATTTTAACATAGGGATCTGGTAAAAAAGTAGAGCAAAATAAGGATCAAAGTTTAAGTATGGTAGCATATATATTGGACTTTAAAAATCCCGCTGAAAAAAAGAAGCAAAAAACGCATGCAGAGAAAAAACACTGATAGAGAAACTGCTCTACTGTTTATGTTACTTGTTAGTCTTCTAAGTTTCTCATGGAAAACTTTTGCCAATATGTTTAATTTTCTCCTCTAAATGTTAATTAGATTCAATTTTTCATGTAATATAATGAAGTATTTTTTAAAAATAAGATTGATTAAAAATGTGAAAAAAAAATAAAATAACAAAATTATGTTATTGGTTGACAAACAATAACGAGGATTGGATCTTTTTAGTCACAAAGTAAAAAGCTAGGTTTTTTGACTGGCAAACATTTCAATATGTAAAAAACAATAACAAAGCAAGAATTCTTTTAACAAAATAAATTTATCTAGTTTTCATTGACAGACATATTTACATTTGTGAGTTTGAGTTTCACAAAAGCCTTAAAATTTCTATCAATCTACAACAAGATATTTCAAATCATGGTACTCAGGAAACAGTGACATAAACAGTGGAACAGCTTCTTTATCAAAACCCTCGTATTGTGCCTTTCATAAGGAAGATACAAATAGAAAAAAATCTTCCCATGAAATAAAAAACTGAAGAGAAACAAAGAACAAAATATAAACAACAAAAATGAAAAAGAAAAATGATGCCATAAAAATATCAAAAAGGAACTGATACTTGTGTGTGTTTAAAAATACCTGAATTTGTTCAAATGGAACTTCAAACGTAAAAGACTCATTGAAGTAAGGGTTGAGGGTTCGTTTCTTAATAGTGGTTTTCTTTTTCTTGAGGCGCTTATTCCCTTGATACAGCGCTATTTTCACATATGGATCTGAATTCATGATAATACGTGATGAATGACACAATCCCTGACAACATCTGTGCAAAAACACGCTTTCAGTGAAATGAAATATTTGCTGTTTTTGCACAAAGATGCATTACATATAACCTTTACACAATGATTACATAAATATTCATATATAAATATATATAAATAAAAAAAAACAACTTCAAAACAACAAATATAGAAAAAATATATATACAAGTTTCATTATAAGTAATTCATTATATTCAATTTCAGTTACATGAATGAATGTTCCATATTAAATTGTTTTTTTTTTCCATACCATTCCTATACAAACTGGTAATTTTGCTGGGGATAACTATATAACAAAATGTAACGGTGATATAACATCTAAAATGCACACGTGTTAAGGTGTCATCTACACACAACTTTAGTGTGATTGTGAATATTACACTAAATTCAACCCACAATGCATACTGTTCATTCATTCATTGTTTTTAACTATATATAAATATTATAAGAAGTTATATCCATTTGTACATTTTATACACATGGTAAACCAGTAAGTAGTTACTTTATGAATAACTCATCATTAATGATTGTTCAATGAATAATTCTTCTAAAGGTCATGATTTTGAGCTATACCAGCATGACCTTGAACTTTGATCTATTGACCCCATCAACTATAGTCGTCTGCTGCTGCTGTGCTACTCATCCTTAAAAATTTATGTCTGCACATGTTGACTAATGTCTTCAGAAGGTTATTTAGCAAAAAATAATTTATTGGGTACTAGGCAATATTTTGCTGTCTGCAATTGTTCAAATATTAGTCCTACTTTCAAATCTGTTTCCTGGAACAAGCCAGTACTGGTGGAGGCACATCATTGGGTGGTGACCCCAACTGGTTCAAACCTGGGTTCATGGGCAGACACCCTGGTCACTCAGCCACTTTCACTGTTTAGGATCTTTATACATAATATCAGAATTTTTTTAAGAAGAAAAAGAAAACGTACATATTCAAAACTGGTTACTCAACAATTATACAATATTCTCTTTTCCTTTAATAAATAAAAAATAAAATCTTAAGTAATTATTGTAATCTTTTTTTTTATTACTTAAAAATCTAGATCTGTCAGCTATACACGTGAAAATAAATAATAATGTTCCTTATTTTGAATGCTACCACTCAAATAAGAACATGATAAATTATTCTCATAAATAATAAATACAGTGTCATTAACAACTAAAACAAACATTTGAATATACTGATCATCAATAAAATAAATCAATATTTCCCTGAAATAAAGACATAACTGTATTTAGAAATAATAAAAATATTTTCTCACACAATTTAAACTTCCTCCCAATAAAAATTTACAACCAAGTATATATCTATTATCAATTCTTTAAAGATTTTGTCCTGTTTTGTGAGTCATCTTCAAAAAGCAAACAAAGGTTTTTGGCATTAAATAAAAATAACAAACATCAAGCACAACTTTTCTTTAAATAAAGACCCTAAATATATATCTGCAAAGATTCAAAGCTTTCATTACAAGAAGAGAAACTGAATTTTTATCTTAGCATATTTTACCTTTATAAATATTGTGTAATCATAATAATTCTTTCAATCATGTGACTGTACAAAAGATATTTTCAGTATATGTACATAATATCATGCAAGTTCAAAAAAATTCCTTAATTTTCCATAATTTTAGGATAGCAATAAGCCACAAGAAAACTTTACAATAATGTCTGAAATGTGTTAAAATCTTGTCTGAATTTTGACACTTTAGATAAATATTGCAAATAATATGTCACAATTTACATAATGAATAGATGATATCTTAGCATGTATTAAATGTTTCATCATTAAGGAAACTGCATGTACATCACTATTATATATGAAATTAGTGTAGAATGAAACGGTTATGTTCTGTACAATATGGAATATAATTAGACTGGTACCCAGCTGATGAGCCATATCAGTCTTGCCAGGCAGCTTGTCCTGCTAGCTTGTCCAATATGGTTTTCTGCTTGACATTCATCCAAACCTATTTCCATATAGCACAGAGCACAGTCAAATATCATAAAAATATACATACATGTACATGTATAACATTTTGTATCATCTCATACTATGGCAATAACTTACGTAAAAATATTTTCATCAATATAAAAAGTTAAATACTTCATCATAAATATTAAATATAATATGAAAATACCTGACAATCCACCCACGTCCATTTTCTTCAGATTTTTGGCTTCAAGGATGACAACTGTGAGTTTACCCGCAGTTGGAACATATCTCAAAGAAAAACAGATGTCCCCAAGCTTGTTTTCCTAGAAATATAATATCTAGAAATCATATTTTGTAAAATTTTGTTAACATCACTCTCTCTATCTGTAAAAATACCATGTGACATTACATTTTTACACTCGTATGTACTATGTACATATACCAAAATCACATATGCTTCTAAAAATTGATGTTCGGGGAAATCATTGGTACAAGATACATATTTTAAAATTTGTTGGAGAATAGGTTACTCATAGCACTTGCAAAATAAAAATTTCAGCCGTTTCTACTCTTATAATGTGTGGTTATCAAATAACATTAAGCTTGATGATAAAGCAAAGTTTGTTAGGTCCAGTTTGTCAGCATTACAATTCAAATAATGAATCAATTCCAGATCCTTCTTTGAAATTAAAATATATTACGATATCGTAGCATACAAAATCACAAAAACTTTTAATGTAGTCTTTTTCAATACACTTTTATCCAGAAAATAAGATTTTTATACCTTTTCTTCATTTTCTGGGCTTGCCAAATCACGCCACTCTTCTAGAGTCTTTCCCAGGTCAACTGAGTTCAGTGGGACTTGAACCTGACCTATCTGGTCATGCTTAGAGAACCGATCAAAATCATAAACTGCAAATGTCAACGTCTTTGATGCCACTTCAGCAAATGGGACCTATAATGAACCATTATAAATGTAAACATCAATAATTCAAAGTCTGCTTTACTCAATAATTAATAGAGAGTTGAGACAAAAGTTGATAGTATCTAATTATTTCATTTGCATAGAGCATATTATGCAATAATTAAATATATGTCTGATAAACAGACAAATATATTTAATTATTGGACAAAATAGATATTAAATCAGAGGACGACACAAAAGGAAAATCTTCAATCATAGGGCACAAAAGGCAAATCTTCAATCATAGGGCACAAAAGGCAAATCTTCAATCATAGGGCACAAAAGGCAAATCTGCACAAAAGGCAAATCTTCAATCATAGGGCACAAAAGGCAAATCTTCAATCATAGGGCACAAAAGGCAAATCTTCAATCAGAGTGCACAAAAGGCAAATCTTATTCAGAGCCCACAAAAGACAACTCTTCAATCAGAGGGTACATAAGGCAAATCTGGAATCAGAGGGCATAAAAGGTTCTAAAATCAGAGTGCACAAAAGGCAAATCTTATTCAGAGGGCACAAAAGGTAAATCTTATTCAGAGGGCACAAAAGGCAAATCTTCAATCATAGAGCACAAAGGGCAAATCTGAAATCAGAGGGCACAATAGCCAAATCTGAAATCAGAGGGCACAATAGCCAAATCTGAAATCATGGGGGACAATGGAAAATCTTAATTCAGAGGGCACAATAGAAAATCTTAAATCAGAGGGTACAATAGTTGAATCTTAAGTCAGTGGGCACAAAAGTCGAATCTCAAATCAGAGGGCACAATAGTCTTATCTCAAATCAGAGGGCACAATAGTCTTATCTCAAATCAGAGGGCACAATAGCCAAATCATTTCATGGTGTAACAACTTTTTTTATCAAACAGGCAAATACAATCTGATAATAACACCATGTTTTATCTACCTTTCTCTCAAAAATGTCACACCCTTGTTCAAGGTAACATTAATTGCCAATTGGCTAGTATGCCATTGTTGTAGTATGAAAATAACTATAAATTTGTTTGTTCTTTTTTAATATATCCTTATTTGTAATATTCATTTGTTTTATATCATGAAAAACATCAAACATCAAAAGTCACAAATTGAATAGCGTGGGAGTTGCGGTTCTCATTGCACTTAAATCAGGATCTGATTACATGAAACTATCAATGTTTAAAACTAGAAACATATTCCCAGGTCTGTATTGAATTTTCCTGATAACAGTAGTTACACAGAGGACATTTATGTATAGAAGTTACAATAAGCAAAGGCTGCTCCAAATAGTTACTTAAAAATTCCTACTGTTGTCACCCTTAACCTGCCGAATTTCTTTAATGGACTTGTCCAGCATCTATAACAGAACTGCCCATTCTTATTTTTCGGGATATAAAGAAAATTGGTCAGTCAGCAGTATAGAGCCAGGTCAGACTATATGGTTGAGCAAGCTGGCCTGGCTCTATATACTGGTGACTAAGGCTAATATTTTATTTTGGTTCCAGCAGTGTAAGGGTTAATAATTATTTAAACTGTGTAATCCCAAAAGAAGTATTGCATGAATATGGAAACTTGCTGAACTTCGTTATCACATGCTAGCATTCATACAGTTTTTTAACAATTAATTGACCAATAAAAATCAATACCAACAAAAGTAATTTATTTAAAAGTAATTCATTTAATAGATGGTGTTTTTATTTAATAAAGCTCCTTCTAGAAAAAATAGACAAGTGAAATTTACAAATAATACAATGACAGGAAAAGTTCTCTGACAGTAAAATGGCTGTCCGAACAAGAATGGAGGGGTAATTTTGTGCAATTACTTAACATGAATGTAAATGTCATTCAGGATCTAAAATGAACAAGTTAAAGAGTAAGGTAATGACCACTTTGCTTGCTGGTGGCAACATATTTTATCTATACACAACCAGTATAGACAAAGATCAGCCGGCACATCTCTGATCATAGTCTACATATTTGACTATTCAGTCAGCCCTTAAAAAATCATTTAATTTTCCCTAAAAATGATGTGTTCAGATTAAAAGATGAACAAGTTTATTTAAGCTATTTAGCATGGTAAATCATATAGAACTTATGAACAGTATAGCTGTCACTTATATAGGCTATTTATAAAAACCGCTAAAGGGCAAGAAATAAAAATATTCTTTTGCACTGCACTTCTTCTTAATGAGATCTATCATCCTATGAAGTTTCAAGTCCATAGTTTTTATACTTTAGAAGAAATGGCCCAGACAAAAATAAAGTATGAAAATTAACAAAGGGCAATTACTCAAAAATTAAGAAGTGCAGAGTACTGGTTTTTGCGCACTGCATTTCAAGTTATTAAAAGAAGCATGCATATCAAGTTTGGAGTCAATCAGACTGAGTTATGCTCCGGGCAAGCCTTAGGGGATGCCAACAATGATCCAGATGACAAAAGTAACCCCTATATGTCGCCTTTTCAAGGCGACACAACCCTATATGTTACTTTTTTAAGGCAACACAAAAATGGGACTTGACAATTAGTTTGATTTAGGAAGGGCTCTAGATAAGAGGGGGAACCAGTTTCCTATCTACTAACTGACATGTAGCCTCAAAATCAACCATTCCTACCTTAAATACAAATGTCTCATTGAACACTGGATTCAATGTTTTCCGGTGGACTTTGGTCTCAAACTTCTTCTTTTTGTCCGGGAGAAGATACACCTTTACATACGGGTCAGATGTGCCGGACATGTCCATCCCTGGCAAATCTGCTGCTTGAATTACCCCAACTGCCAACTAGAAATTTCAAATACATTTGTAATGAGTAAGAATAATAATATTTCATCAATCCATATTGATATATGATACAAACGAATATTTTACTGATTACGTACAGCCCATTATAGCATTATACCTTTTAATAGCAACAGCTGCATATCTATAGCTTAGGAATGTGTACTGCACATTCCTACGGGAATATAGCAAGTAATGTAGTATTATAACATAATGATGTCACTTGTTTTCAATCTAAATTTACCATTTGCTAGCTTTGCATATTTCTTTATTTTACACATATTAAAAGGTGATAACACCAGTTTTTTGGCCCTTCCCATTCTATGACCAATTTCATTTCTTTTCTATGGCCATTTTGATAACTTTTCTATTGTCATTTTGATTTTTTAGGGCCATTCTGATTTTTTTAAAGCAATATTGTTTCTTTTAAGAAAGTCACCTTTATACATTCCTTGTTTTATCATTATTCTTACCTCCCCTTTTTGGAAATCAAAGTCGACTGAGAACTGCAGTTTGCCAAGTTTAACTTCTGATTTTGTGCTTTCAGCATCTTCGTTATCTTCCATGTTAACCTCCAATTCATCTAGATCTGGCTGCACCTGTGACATAAGCACAACCTTATAAACACAACCTTATAAATGATTTCTGAAATTTTAGACAGCAAAATATCATCTTGTCAAAACAAGATTTTTGGTACCATCAACACATGTGCATGGATGCCACTCTGACACGGCTAAGAGATTGTCACACTATGTGGTAGAGTAGACCAATCTAATTTCAAGCTTAACCTTGACCCCACTCCGCCCTCTCACCTCAAACCAAATTCAAGATGATAGGTCCATGTGAAACGGGTAAACATTTTTTATCTAAATTAAGTGGACAGCATAATTATGTTAAAGGACAGTGATTCTGCAATATCTGAAAAAGAGGTTTGCGCTGCACTTCAAGGTTGTTGCATTATACCATGTACCCTCATCGAAACTTTGACAATTTATAAACATTTACTGCTTATGTAAAGAGCTCTTTATCAAAATAATGACAGCATAAGCACTGATAAGAAAATGTATTACATAATATTTTGATTTATAGTACTGTCACTAAGCATTGAGATTCATTGATATTATTGAACACTGGCATATAAGCTGATTATCTATTTTTTTATAAAGCTGAAATAATCTATACTAGGTACCATACCTTTTCTTTCATAGAATGTCCAAGAATTTTCACATCTTCCAATCCCACAATACCTTTAAGGCCTTTTTTGCCATCTTTCTTCTTGCGCTTCTTGCAGCAACATCGTTTGCATATACAATATGTGCAGCAGATCAAAATGAGAAGAGCCCCAGCACATATTGCAACCAATGCCCATACTGGCACTGTAAAAAAATAAAACATTGAAATCACCATCAAATATTTTATACAATAAATAATATGAGTTGGTCATAATAAATCCTGACAGGTTTCCATTGGCAACTATCAGACAGAGGATCAATCAATCTAAGTAGTAATTTAAGGATTGAGGGCTGCATTGGTTCAAACCCCGTCATGGGCACGCTGTTGTTTTTGTGAGCAAGACACTTTACACTTGTTGCTTAGCACTGGTTGGTTCAAAGAACAGATTTGAGAGAGTTTCAAAAAGCATATAGCTTCCTACACAATCAAACTAAAATAAATTCCTATAAACAAATCAATATAATGTTGAGTATATACATAAGTTTTCATGTTTGATACCTGACTTTCTTCAGTGTTAAGCACGTTCTTGCACGTTCTCTGTAACTAAATGATGACTATTTTACCATAACAATTTGGAAGTAATAAGATACTTTATTTAAATTTGAGCTGCACAGCAATTCTTATGGTAAATGGTCAAGAAGAACATTTCCTCACCTTAGTGCAGTACTGTGTTATTTGTGAAGTTTCAAGAGAATACCTTCACTAGTTTAAGAAAAACACAACTTTAGGCCAACACAAATGCATGTGTAATAGGGATTCTAAGGTTCCCTATACTAGCTTGAAAACATTCAAGTTTAGTGTTTTGTCCTGTTTTATTGCATGAAAAGTAGTTATCCTTTTTTATAAGTAAAAGTTAGTGTTAGTAAGTCATCAACATTAATGAAATTTAATCTTATTTCATCAAAATAATTATCAGTTTCATATTTTCATTCCAATTTTGTTAACATTTTGCAAATTTTGTTAGTTAAAAAATTAACAGAAATAATATGCAAATTCATAGTTTAAAAGAGACAGTGCAACAGTTCTCAAAATACCTTGGTTTTAAAAAATTCAAGGCTGTTGGGGGTTTCTTTGAGGTCAATCAAATTTGGTACACATTTTCACCCATTCATCAGTTATTTTTATGCTCCAGTTGACAAAAAGCAAGATTCAAATCACAATATTTCTAATAAATATTTTTTGTACATCTACCCCATATAATTATACTAGTTTTTTTCCATCATAAATAAATGCAACATAAGTTGAAGACAGGGGTGTTATAAAAATCCCATAGTCTATATATTAAACCAAGCATCACTAAATGAGATATTTAATACCCCAATTGACCAAATGTCACTAAAATGTGTTTCAACTCAATAAATTAATGGAAAATGATAGTGTTAGGGATAAGTTGGCCCCAATTGAATCTCTGTCAAATTACCAATTTCATGATATTTCATTCTTTGAGGTCAGTGACAATATACCAGTATTAACCTGTTTTACATCAAGTAACTTCAAATTGTTCTACATATAAAACAAAAGTCAAATAGTAATTGTTTATTAAGTTGTCAACTTAACTGTAACAATCTTACTATCACTAAATAACAATCGTATCACACCCATGACTTAAACTTGGGAAATCCGAGAAGAGGGTTAAGCTGTGTTACACATAACACCAAGTAACACCTAAGACTCAAATCCAGGGAAATCCAGGGTCTGCACACCTATATAAAACCAAAGACTCAATCTAAGGACATTTTTGGTTGCCCATTCTTCAATCACCACCATTGAATGAAGAATGGGCTACCGAAGCTTCAGCATGAAAAAGATGTCCCTGATGAGAATACGATAGTGGAACGGCAAGGATGCTACATTCTCGAACATATGGTTTATTCCAGCGCTGTGTATAATTAAACTCAACAAGAGCCACCGCCGGGCGGGGGCAACGCTCGACTTTTTACTTTTTCTAAACGCAAACATAGAAAGGTTTGAACATATATTAACGTTTCATTTTTATAAATTTAGTTGGTCTGTCTTGTCACATTTGTTTTCTTTATATATTTTGTATATATATGAATAGAAACATTAAGCATATTTCTAAATATAGCAACAGTACGCAATTTCTAAAAATAGAAAAAATGACGCAATTTCTAAAATACAAAAAAATGACATAATTTCTAAAAATAAAAAAGTGACGCAATTTCTAAAAATAGCAACAATGATGCAATTTCTAAAAATAGGAAAATTTACACAATTTCTAAAAATAGAAAAAATGACGCAATTTCTAAAAATAGAATCTAAAAATAGAAAAAAATGACGCAATTTCTAAAAATGGAAAAATGACGCAATTTTTAAAAATAGAAAAAAATGACCCAATTTCTAAAATAGAATCTAGAAATGAAAAAAAATGACGCAATTTCTTAAAATAGAAAAAATGACGTAATTTCTAAAAATAGCAACAATGACGCAATTTCTAAAAATAGCAACAATGATGCAATTTCTAAAAATAGAAAAAATGACGCAATTTCTAAAAATAGCAACAATTTCTAATAATAGCAACAATGACGCAATTTCTAAAAATAGAAAAAAGACGGCAACGGCAACGCCGACCTGACTATAACAATACCTCTACTTTTTTTTTCAAAAAAAAAAAAAGTCGAGCCAAAAAAAAAAAAAAGTAGTCGAGCTAAAAACAAACAAACACTTAGGAAATCCAAGGGGTACACACCTATGTTATACCCAATACTCAAACTTTGAAAATCGTGGGTGTGCACTCCTATGTTATACCCAATACTCAAACTTGAAAATCGTGAGTGTGAACACCTATGTTATACCATATACTCAAACTTTGAAAATCGTGAGTGTGAACACCTATGTTTATACCCAATACTCAAACTTTGAAAATCGTGAGTGTGAACACCTATGTTATACCCAATACTCAAACTTTGAAAATCGTGAGTGTGAACACCTATGTTATACCCAATACTCAAACTTTGAAAATCGTGAGTGTGAACACCTATGTTATACCCAATACTCAAACTTTGAAAATCGTGAGTGTGAACACCTATGTTATACCCAATACTCAAACTTTGAAAATCGTGAGTGTGAACACCTATGTTATACCCAATACTCAAACTTTGAAAATCGTGGGTGTGCACTCCTATGTTATACCCAATACTCAAACTTGAAAATCGTGAGTGTGAACACCTATGTTATACCATATACTCAAACTTGAAAATCGTGGGTGTGCACTCCTATGTTATACCCAAAGACTCAAACTTGGAAAATCCAGGATGTCCACACCTATGTTACACCCAAGGCTCAAACTTGGAAAATCCAAAGTGTATACAAGTGTGTTTAACTTGAGAAAAGGTTTTTAAAACAGTGATCCAACTGGGGAAGCTTATCAAGAAAGTTGAATTATTATAGAATGTCAAAGGTTATAAATTTAATAACTAAATTTCAAAATTCCTGATATAAGACAAGTTAATTTTGCCCAAAAATAGTATACAGTAGATAATATAACAGCAGTCATTTTAGTCAGGATCCGGTTTGAGATTTAGATTTTAAAATTGATTAGTGAATTTGACATATGGTTTGCATACAGCATGATATTTAAACCCTTGACAGTGTGTGAAATATAAGCATCACATATTCATGAAATAAAACACATACAACCACACTTACAAAATTGTACTTTTCTACGCCATTTTGTCTTTATACACATAAAAGAAGTATACTTACTCTTGCACCTCACACATTTCCTATCATAATTCTAGCTCTTTTTTTAAATTATAGTTTTGTATAAATCCTGTCACAAAGTCATATAGAATTTACAAACTCTATTATGAACACTGAAATATTCATTACACAGTTGATCAAGCTCTATAATGATAATGTGTCTGAACATATGGTGCAGGCAGCATAACTGTAGCAAAATATCATATATTTATGTATATATATGTGTGTGTAAAATAACAACATGCCTTTATGAATAATTCTGTAAATGTAAGCTTCTTAAAGTGAGATCAACATACAATCTTGCAGAAGAACTCAGGCATAATAGATTGTTTTTACCCATTAATTAGTTAAGTAATCAAAATGTGTGCAACTGTGTGACAATGTGTTCATTGATGCATACCTTTATTAACCCTTTAAATGACCTTTGAATGTTTGTATTTCACCATTGTTTCTTTCCAATGACAAGGGTTAACAAACCCAAATACACAAGTATTTCACCAGTATATGAGCCGCGTCATGACAAAACCAACATAATGGGTTTGCTATCAGCATGGATCCGCGCAGTCTGATCAGGATCCATGCTGTTCGCTTACATACTCCATAACAAGTAGAGAAACTCAGATAGCTAACAGCATGGAACCTAATCAGACTGTGCAGATGTGCAGGCTGGTCTTGATCCATGCTGGTCGCAAACTCGTTTTGTCATGACGTGGCTCATATATAGACTGCCAATTCCCAACATGTATATGCATGCAATCTGACATATATTCAGTAATGAATAATTCATTAACTGTTCATGAACTCAGTTTATGAACTGTTCATCATTCACTCCATGAACTGTACATTTATGGTGCATGAATAACAATTTTGACAAATAAATTCATGAAACCATTTCATATGGTTTGTCTGTATTGATATTCATGAACTGGGTTAAAAAAACACAAAAATAAACTAGTTCATGAGCAGTTCATTAATCTAGTAACATCTCCAAAACTACTGAGTTATCAGGTTTATAGACTTCTTGTTTTTAATGAGAAATTCCGACTAAATGGGGCTCTCAATGGGGAAAACAGATTTTAATATTTACGTTAATGTCATGAAAATTTCGTTTAAACTTGTTTTTTAGCATAAAATAAAAAGAAAATTTGTTTGTTTGTTGTGTAAGATTTAATTTTATTTCATCTCGTGAACTTTAAAAACAGTATTCTCATTCGTGGCTACGCCACTCGTGAGAATACTGTTTTTAAAGCCCACTAGATGAAATAAAATTTCATCTTACACACAAACAAACAAATATCCTCTATATAATCATATCAAACATTAAAAAAGACTGTATTGATTATGTATGAATAATTAATTAATTAAGGTATTTTAATGCTCTAGAAATTTGCTTTGTAAAATCATTCATTATTCCTTTTCATTTGCCGATCTTGTTTTCATTTTAGAACTGGTGTCTCAGAAATTATCACAAGAAATCAGATCGAAGTTAGGTATCATTACAAATGTCATTTTTAGTCTTTTATTAAAGTAAAAATCCCTATATTCTCCAAGCAAGAATTTTCTTTCATTACAAATTTTTGGAAATTGTTACACTTCCTTGAGTAATCTATCTACTACTGGCATTTCATTAACTTCTTATTTACAAAACATGTAATCTATATTCATGCATATTTCTGCCAGATTACTTGTCAAGAAACTTGTTTAATCTATCTCATTTTAACATTTTACAATCAGCCTCAATTTGTCAGTTCTTCTTTGAGCAGTTGCTACTAGCAACTGTTCAAGCCAGTTCAAGGTTCATGACCACTTGTTCATGTACTGTTTATGAACTCTTTATATCCAAACTGTGCATATGAACAGTTCATAAACACTTTGGGTTATAAATTTTTCCTGAATTCATCTAATGAACTAAAGATGAACATTTTCATGAACTACTTTACATGAACAGTTCATGAATGTCCACCAGAGTTCATCAGTTCATGATCTTAATCTTGACAGGAAAGATGTTGCTCATTATTTTTCATATTAAATGTGTAGCCAAATATAAAGAAGGACATGATCATAATACTTGTCCATTTTACAATGTTAGAATGGCAAGGGTTAACAAATTGTGCACAGGAAATTTTCAATGAAATAGAAAAGTGATTGTTGCATGTTTAACAGTGACATACTTACAATGCACTGTATTAAAAATAAGAAGTAATGAGATCAGTATTTATAAGGAAACTTCAAACTTACTCAATATTTTATTATGCTACAATTATGCTATTCTGTTCAAGCTTACTCAAACATATAAAGTGATATTACATTATATTTGTGTCATCTGTTAATCCATTATTGTTTTTAGTCCCAACAATGCTGTAAATGTCATATGATGACTTGTATAAACCTCAGATGCCCCTCTGTCCATGGGGTCAGGCAGGAGCAGATCCCCTGAGTAAAACCAACAACTTCCTCATGAATCAAGAGACCTTGACATGATTCTAGCCCACAGCAGAAAGGTGCAAGTGATTCAAACCGTAACTTATTAGCCTTAAAGGCTTCTTGCACTTTATTATAAATAGTTCCATGATCTTTTTATATCATGTCACAGACTTTGCAAGTCAAATTAAACTATAAGGAATATGATGTCCCATTAAAAAGGATAGCCCAAAAACTGAAAAGCTCTTATCTTGATACTCTATATACTACCGTATACTTTTTATATTTTGCTTTAAAACTTCAAAACACAGTTACATTATCACAAGGGAAGGTTACATGTATATAATAATTAGCAATTCCAAATATTTTCAAAGTCTTACAATTTTGAATCTGTTCCATGACCTTTTGTTCGATTTTCTCAGCAGCCGATTTATCTGCTTCTGTTGTCGTGGTTACGGCAGCTGCTGGCACTGTATCATTACTGGCCGCTGCATTTGTCTCGGGTGCATCCGCGGACTCTGTGTCACGCTGCATCCTCATCAACAAGTCCATTCTCAAATAGTTATGGACTCACCTGAAAATAGCAATTATCAACTTTTATTCATAAATCATAAACTGTTGTTGCACTTAATTTACACTGAAAGTATCCAACAGAATCCTGTAATTCGGTTAAATTACATATTTTAGGGATTTCTTTAAAAGCAGCTACACCACTACATGATCATTAAACACACGCAGATAAATAAGGTCATGATTATATACACTCAAATATAAAAAAAACATTGTTATATATTTATGTGTACATGTATACCATATCCTAGATAACATATTGTTCGACAAAATCATAAAATTCATCATTACAATCGTATTGCATCATATTTGTTACCATGTATACTTTTATTCTGAAGAAAAAACAAAAATTCAGGGATGCATTTGATATTGCCACCTTTATCATAACAATTAATTGTATACTTTTGATTTATCCAATTGCCCATCTTTTAAGGTATTATTTTGACTTGCAAACAGAATTTTGACCATAAAATACAATATTGCCACCTATTCATTAGGACACCTAAAACCGAGCCTGTGACTTTCTCATTTTTTACTGGTCTCTCCCTCTTGAGCTATATACAAAATCATTTAATTTAATTCTAGATTTCAAGAAGGAAAAAAAATACATAAATGGCTTTTTACAAGAATAAAGCTAATTCTAGGTTCCAAGAAGACGGAAAAGTAAAGAAACCAATGGATTTTTACAACAAGAAAGCAGTACTGTGTCAATGTATGCTAATTTTCAATGAACTAAGCTTGAATCAGAATCAGTCTGTATGCTAAATATGGATTCATATTAGAGTCTACAACAATAAGTAGACAACTTATTTAACAACTAATGGCTTTACCAATCACTGACCTACATAACATTATTCCATTAATGCATTTACAATGTACATCAAGTTAATTCAATAATAGGAATCTAATTTGAGAGTAGATAATGAATATCTCCTGGGAACCAATCCCTATCAGCCTAGAGCTGATCTCATTTCTATATACTATAACTTGTTCAGGGCACTTATTAGGCAGCTCAATTATTCCATATCAGTCTGTTAGTCTCTTGTTTAAATTTACAACCAAAAAAATTGCTTCTTTGAAGAATATTTGATGCCAACAAATTATCAAAACAATCTTTCTATCAGCAAGGAAATCCTTGATTTTTTTGTTTATTTATTTTGATTCCATTGCCAATGGCAATCAGAATTCTGCAATGAATAAATTCTTTACTTTTAAGACAGACAGACAAACTTAACTTAACTTGGTTGTGACCCCATCCTGTTGTCCACAAGGCAGGTACAGAAGTTACTAGATAAATTAGCAAAATTTTTGGCTTTTGCAATGCCAGATTCATGTGGGGGTTTAATATTAATATTGGCACCACAATGGCAGAAGATATGTCCAACTTACAATGAGAAAAAGAATCATTACTTGGGAGTGGCAGGGGGGTGAGGGGGGTTGATTATCTATAGGGATGGGGTGGGGTGCTGTGACGTTACAATAAGTTAGTGGACAGCTTCAACTAAAACCGGTAAATAATATGTACATAATAAATTAATTCCGAATTCTCTCTAGAGACTCTTCTCTCAGGAAATTAGAAACCTGCACTGATTAGTAAAGTTTCACAAACAATTCAAAATATAGGAATGGCCGGAAACTGTCCTCAGTTTTCATAGTGAGATTTTCAATTAACATGCAAGCTTGGTATACCTTAATGATTATAGATTGAATCATTATCTGATAACATGAGATATTAAACAAACATCTGCGTACAGTCATCTAGTGCAATGCTCATCTTTGTAATACAAAATAAATTCTCATTTGACAATCCTAAGCTTATATTATCTATATATGTATACATGGCGGCTGCAAATTAACTATATTCAATTTTGATCAAAGGAAGTGTCACAGTACTGAACTGTTCACTAATTAGGGGTGATGGTGTGAAAGCGGCCAGATAGACCAGTCATTAGAGTTGCTGTAAAGTATTCCGAGGGTCCCAGGTTCAAGTCCTTAAGTCTGAGGCTGCACATTGTTCTCACCCTGTGACAAAAGTACTTGTGCAGTATTATTTATTAATTATCATATTGTACATGTACCTTGATTTTCTTTCTAAACGTTCATCAAGGCAAATATTTCAAATTCTTTTGAATGCTGGAATTCATAAGTACATGTAACTTACTGGTATGCCACCAGTATAAATACTGTGTGTTAAAGATGCGAAGCATTTTGTACATAATTTGCAAATATTATGACCTTTCTAAAACTTTTCAGTAATAACCCTAAAATTTGACCTTTTGAACATTCATATTGTTTACACATCTAGCTACAAAAAATAATGACATTTGTGTAAAATCAATCTGTTCATTGTTCAGGACACAACAGTTGCATCCAATTGGCAGGGACTGGTTGCCGACTTTGCAGCTCAGCTGCAGATTGCTGCAGATTTAAATACTGCCATGATTCATGTTTACTTATATAAAATTCTTACAAATTTAATATTGAATAATTATTCATTCGTCTAACCTGCTGGTAGGAGGTACAAACCTTGGGTACCCGAGCTCAATCTTACAATGATAGAAAGAATAAAAGACTATGAGTTTCCGTGTGTTAGTGTGACATTCTATAAGACTAGTGTTGTTATATTTTTCTGGTCCGTTGGGATCATAGTTTCCACTAAATTCGATATTGGAGATTGAACATTGCGTTATCTCACAAAAACTCACCCACTCAGTTATTTATTTTTGTTTCATTACTTTACTCAAGGGATCTCAACTGTTTCTGAACAAAAATATACAAGAGATTTCTGAGCAACATGAAACTAGTGGATAAACTGTGGATAAACTGTATCATACTGAAATGAAATATGACTTTGTGGCTAAATATGTGGAATCCTCCATTTAAGAAACGGCCTAAACTTAATTTTTTCTATATTTAATTATTTTCGCATTGCTTTCTCCTGCCTAAAAATCATTCATAATACATTTTATCATATCTCTTTCTTTAAAAAGCATTTAAAACAATTTTACAAGACTGTTTACCTTTAAAGGTAAGATTCTATTAAAAGTGTGTGAAATAATTCTTATATTCAAAGCAGGAATAATTCTTATATTCAAAGCAGGAATAATTCTTATATTCAAAGCAGGAATAATTCTTATATTCAGAGCAGGAATAATTCTTATATTCAAAGCAGAAATAATTCTTATATTCAAAACAGAAATAATTCTTATATTCAAAGCAGTATATGTTACAATGATTCAGATGGGCAGAGAAAAAATAAATATTGCACAAGATAAGTTATGATATCAGATAAATTCTCTGTTTGTCTTCGTATCCATAGAAACTAATTCCAAGCTTGTCACTAACGAGTCATATTCCCTACGATTTAACTTACACTCAGTTCTCTGTCTCAACATTAAAGCCACATGCCTACAGATTCATGCTAATTATCATGAAAATTTTGAGAATTATATTAAAAAGGAAGAGATTGTCAAGTGAAAAATGAAAAAAGAAGTCATTTACACATTCACAGTTAACAGCATTTTAAATCACAGTAAATAACCAATAACAGTCAAAATATGGGGAAAAAACAACGACCCTGATTGCAATTGTCATGCAATAAAAATATGGTGATAAATACTGCAAAATCAGTCATTGATTGCACATAACATGTAAATCAATGGTTGAATTGTTAATATTTTTTAATTTTCTTCAAATATTTGCACATTTTTCTTAAAACTGATTGTCTTGAAATTTTTAGGTCTCACTTCTGAAGGCATGCAGTTTAAATGTGATATGTTTTGTTTTAATATAATTAAAATGTTAACTAGTTTTTTAAATCTATTAGAATAGTATATCCCTGTTTAATCCATATGCGTGTACAATCCATCTGCCTGTAAACTCCTACAACCGACACTGCTTACAAATTACAAAAATTATATTTCATATTCCCATTACATCGTGAATTTCTACAACATACAACATAATTTTAATATCGTATCACATAACAGGATGTTGCTTAAAAAAAAAAACACATAAAGTTACATATAATAACATAATATCCATTCCTTATATGCAGTTATTTTCTCACTGGTTCACTGTATGACACAACTGTTTTAAATAATAATACACTAAAGATTCCCTATATAACCCACCAGAGATTCCTTACTCTTGACTTTCCAGTGCCTGTGAAGGAGTAGGTATAATCAATATTGGCCAAGTTATTGATCAATCAACATAAAACATTCAGGAGAATGTTTCACTAGATTCTACTATTAACTGGTTATCTATTATCACACTTATGGACACTTGACAGATGGACGATATCACTTATTAAAAGATTTAAAGCTAATTTATTGTGGACACTGAACAGATGGGCTAATCAGCTAATTCCTTGTAACATTATCACTATCGAAATCTTTAAAGATCTTCAAGATTTTTACTATATTTGGTTTATATGAATTGATTTCAATTTCGATTGTGTTGTAAGCTATAAACTTTTTGAACACCCTCGAATCTGTTCCTGGAACTACCCAGTACTAAGAAATGAGTGTAAAGTTTCTTGCTCAAGGAAACAACGGTTTGCCTTGAACACACCCTTCACTACCAGCATAATCCACTCAAAATACCATTCTGCAAACAAGACTGGAATACCTTTCACACTCAAAATACCATTCTGCAAACAAGACTGGAATACCTTTCACACTCAGAATACCATTCTGCAAACAAGACTGGAATACCTTTCACACTCAGAATACCATTCTGCAAACAAGACTGGAATACCTTTCACACTCAGAATAGCATTTTGCAAACAACACTGGTATACCAGTCACACTCAGAATACCATTTGCAAACAACACTGGTATACCAGTCACACTCAGAATACCATTTGCAAACAACACTGGTATACCAGTCACACTCAGAATAGCATTTTGCAAACAACACTGTGTATACCAGTCACACTCAGAATAGCATTTTGCAAACAACACTGGTATACCAGTCACACTCAGAATACCATTTGCAAAC